GCCCCTCAGACCCTCCCAGGAGCGGTGGTGATCCCTGAGATCGTTCTAAGGGCGGCAGGGACCACTAGAATACTCCCACAGGTGGCGGGGACTTTTGGTGACCCTCCCAGAGACGGCAAAGCCCCTGGAACCCTCCTAAGGGTGTCAAATACCCCTGGATCCTCCCAGAGGTGGCAGGAGCCTCTGAGACCCTCACAGCTGTTCAAGGACCTCTGGGATGCTCCCATCAATTCCATACTTAAATGTGATTGGTGGACTGAAATGTATAACCACCAAATTACAGCCAATAGGAGAAGAGACCAGTCAGTCAGCACAACACCCCAACTTATGTTTTCCTGTTGGATATTATTTTCGATTTCATTGTGAACAATGGAATGGAGAAGGATAGCCAACAGGAAAACATAAGTTGGGGTGTTGTGCTGACTGACTGTTCTCTTCTCCTATTGGCTGTATACCCACCAAATTACAGCCAATGGGAGAAGAGAACAGTCAGTCAGCACAACACCCAAACTTATGTTTTCCTGTTGGATATTGCTCTCCATTCTGCTGTTAAGGAAGCAATAATAGTAGAAATGTTATAATGGGCATTGTAGTCGCATCTACCAGAGCTCTAAATAGCACAAAAAACAACTGCCCCCAGGGACCCACCCAGGTGCCACCAGAGGCAGGATTGGCAGTAGCCCCTGGGACACTCCCAGAGGCAGCTTATAGAGGCGTCGGGGGCCCCTGAGGCCTTCCCAGTTGCGGCAGGGGTACCTGGGACCTACCGAGGTAAGACAGGGCACCTGCAACCCTCGCAGGGGATGCTAGAGTCCCCAAGGACACTTGCAGGGGCGGCACGGTCCTTAGGTACCCACAAAGGTGTGGCGAGGACACTCTCCGGGGCGTCGAAGGCCCCAAGAACCCTCCCAGAGGCGATGGGGGGCCTTTGGGACCCTCCCGGGAGCAAAGAGGGCCACTGTGACTCTTCCAGATACAGCGAGGACCCTTTCAGGGGCAGCAGGGGCTCCTGTGACCCTCTCAGAGGCGGCGAGGTCCCCTGGGACGCTACCAGATATGGCTAGGACCCTTTAAGGGGCAGTGGGGTCTTCAGGGACCATTGCAGGGCCGGCTGCGCCCTCTGGAAGCCAACCACAGAAAACAGGGGACCCAATAACTCTCTCAAGATTGGTGGGGGCTCTTGCAACCCTCGTAGGTGCAGCGAGGGCCCCTGGGACCCTCCCAGGAGCGGCGGCACCCCGAGACATTTCCAAGGGCAGCAGGTGCCCTGCCAAACCTGGTAAGGTCCCAGGAGCCACCGCCACAATTGGGAAGGTTTCAGGGGTCCCTGATGCCTCTATAATGGTCCCAGGGGCACCTGCTGCCTCTGGGAGGGTCCCAGGGTTCTGCACCGCTCTTGGGTGTCTCCCAGGGGCTCCTGGGAGATTGAATGGGGACTCTGCCGCACTTGAGAGGGTCCCAGTGGCTACCACCCACTCCTATGAGAGTACCTGGGGTCTCCAGCCGCCCCTGGGAGTGTTGCAGGGGCCCCGCCGACCTTGGGAGGATCCCAGGATCCCCCACTGCACCTGGGAAGGTCCCAGGGGCCCACGTTGCCTTTGGGAGGATCCCTGGGGTCTGTGCCGCCCTTGAGGGGGTCTATGGGGGCCCAGTTGCCCCAGGGAGGTTTCATGGGGACCTCGCCACCTCTGGACCCCCTGCCGTCCCTAGGAGAGTCCCATGGGAAGTCGCCTACCCTGGGGGCACCGCCACCCCTGCAAAACTACCAGGAGCCTCCATCCTGAGTGTGTCCCAGGGACCCCCGCCACTCATGGGAGGGTTCCCACCGCACCTGGGAGTGTCCCAGGTAGGGAGGCAGGCAGGCAGGGAGTAGTCAGGGAGACAGGGAGCATGCAGGCAAGCAGGAAGGAGTGAGCAGGCAGGAGATGAAGGAGGGAGGCAGGGGACAAGCAGGGAGCAAACAGTGAAGGAGGGAGGGAGGGAGGGACAGCCGCAGGGAGAGAAGGATGCAGGGAGGGAGGCAGGGAGCAGGCAGAGAGGGAGGGAGGGAGGGAGCAGGCAGAGTAGGAGGGACATTTTTCTGGGACACCCTCTATATATATATACATCCTTGACCACCGGAGGATCAAGATCTATTAGGCACCCGCTCTTGCTGCGGGCTGTCCCGGCCAATATTGTCCCATTCCCCAAATCCCTCTCCTGCCTCCCTCTTGATAAAATCATTGTTTTGATATAGAAACTCGACAAAGAGCAGTTAGTCCTGTGAGAACAAAATTAAACCAGGTGATTTATTTTCATAATTACATTCAATGGAATACAACAATAACAAATTGTACAAAGGATGGCATCACATCTCTATGAGTTGGTATATAAAACTGTTAAACTGGATTACATAATAGTCAAACAATACATACTGTATACTGAACTGTACACCTAATAGCTGATGTACTTAAATTAATATATAAACATAACATACAAGATTATTAAAGTAACTGAACATTTGATATCATTCGGTAGAAAAAATGTGTATCTCTTCTGACAAGAAAATATTTGCTGATCTCGAATTACTGGGGATGTGATTCGCTACAATGCACAACAATCAGATAAGGGTTTAATGGTGACAAAATAATAGTAACTCCTAAAAGACATTAGGCATACATATCACAAATGATCCCTCATGGAGTACAAATAATCACTGGACTTGGTATGTGTACTAATACCATGTTGAACATCATGAAAATATGAAATATAAAGTTTTAGTTATGTACACTTGTAGTTCTTCACATACAATGGACATTTGCAAACAAGAGCTGTCAGATAAATTCATTGGTATATATAATTTCCTAGCCAGTATACAGTACTTGGAAATTTGCCTAATTTTCATCACACTTTAATCTGTGAAGTATGGTTGACCATTTCTCTCTCTACGCTGAGTGAGGATCTCGACCCCCGTCTCCGTCACCAGAAGAGTCTCCTCAAATTGGGCTGAAAGTTTCCCGTCGGCAGTTACCGCGGTCCAGTTGTCCGGCCACTGCTCATCTTTCCAAGTACCTAAAGTAGAACACTCGTTAGACACTTACACTCCACATAACGCACAATGTGACGTAGAAGGAAAATATGAAGGAGCTACTGAGAGTTAAGAGAAGCAGGATAAACTACAATATTGGCAGAACTAATTCTTATTTTCCTGTGTTGTAGGTGATACCTAAAAGTTTTGAATAATGTAACACTACGACCTACCATCAGTACTATCGGTCAAGACACATGCAGTGATGCACAATAAGCCGATTCTCTGATGGAAATGCAACAATTCTAATCGGGACCATTTGTCAGATGTAATTCTTATGATATAAATGGTGTTAAGTTGCGGCATAATCTCGGATCCATGTGCTTTACGACCATGTGGTATACATAGCATTTACATTGTTCATTATTTTTTTATAGCACCAATAAAAGCGTCAGATATAAATGCAATGTCCTGTATAAAGAATCTCATGAAAATGACTCAAGGACAAAAGAAATTATTAAGAGAGGAATAAAGGGGCAACGGAGGCATCTAAAAATGTGAAGCAGTACAGTACGATAAGAGATCACGTGGCAGGACAAACTGAGGGAGGAAAATGTGTCTACAAGATTCAGTACATTTAAAAGCCTGGGATCATGATAAGATACCTAAAGTGTTGTGTTAAGATAACTACAGTATACACAATGTTATAAAATGCAATGTTAAGAAGTAATTCAAATACGACGATGCCAACAACAACAACATTGGATGTGTAACGGAAACTCTCCTGCTTTTTGTGAGGACAAACTAAAAATGTAAGTGTTAAAAACAAGATCAAATAGACAAACTACTGAGAATTAGTTTATTTAATATAAAAAAGTACAGTTGCCTTCACTTATACCTGGTACAGTGGCTGGCATGTTTTGTGAGGTGTAGCAACTGTGGAATGCAAGTTTTCTTTGGGCCATTATGGGAGTTTTAACACTATGTAAACAAACACAGAAATGCCACATCTCACAAAATGTGCCAACCACTGTACCAGGTATCAGTGAAAGCCAATGTACAGTACATGGGAGGATGGTAACTTATGGAATTAAAAAAAATTTGAATTTTAAAGTACTGTACAGGAGGTCCAGGGGTTACGTACGTTCGACTTATGAACATCCACCGATATGAACGAGGTCCCATAATGTTAAACTTTAAATTTACAGTACCTGTATTTTATTTATCTGATGGCTTACTTATTACTTTCATTTACTGTATTTTATCATTCCATTTTTTCTTTTCTCTTAAATTAAGTGTTTTTAGGAGTATATAATGCACAGAGGGTATGTGGTTCACCTCAAGTACATTTTTTATTTAAGAACATACGTAGGAATGGAACTTGTATGTCACTCGGAGCCTGCCTGTACGAGAAAAATAAGATAAGAACAAACAGGTCTGAAAAAAAACAGTAAAGAGGACAATAAAACAAAACTTCATCAACAATCAGATCCAACAAAACACTCACCCTCTGAGATCATTGGTTCAATAGTGAAGGTGTGTCCAGGCTTCATAATGCCCACAGCTTTGTTTTCTGAAATTAATGTAAAAATGCAAAATTATTCAAGAGATCAACAAAGTTAAACTGAGAAGCGTTGGCGGGCAATTCAATCAACTGATGGGCGCACATAAACTGTACCCTGTACTGTATATATTACCAATATGTTAACTAAATTTTAGAATGACCAATAATTTTAATATAAACAATGCAAAAATATTCATGAGCACAACTTTCTCGATATTTACTTCATTGGAAAAAATGTAAACATAGAACCAATTACTGTATTGGCGGACTAGCCGATTAGCTGATGCGCACGCCAAAGCGTTTTTCTCGTAAGGCTGTCGTTAATAGAACTGAAAATCCTTATGTCGTGTTTTAACTCGGTCACGTCCTTGGCAATGTAAAACCAAACCAATTTTGGTGTTATAACTCACTGGTATAATGTGGAACAGATGGCGCCGTGTGGAAGAGCTGATGGATGCCGTGCCCACAGTAAGAGCGCACTACAGAGAAACCTTGGGAGTGGGCGTGCTTCTGGATGACTGCTCCCACGTCTCGATACTTAACACCGGGCTTGACTGTGGTCAAAGATTTAAGTTAAAAATAAATAAATGAGTACAATTGGTAAATAAATTCAAAATGAAACTCTAGCATTACCTAAATTCTGTGCACATCAGATACTGTACCAAAAGTCATAATCCCTAAAATTACAATACTGTATTATAAAACAATTAGATTAGGGAACCAAAAATTATGAAAACAAATAAGAATTTATGTTATACATCACAAACTTGAAAGTATCACTAACTACAATCTCTAATCCATTTATTATTATCATAGATTAAGATTACAACACATTACACCATTATAGGCAGCTACCAAACAGGGAGGTACTACCGCCTGGGAAGATATTGGAAGCATAATGTGTTGTCTAATGGTAGACCCTGCTGCCATATGTGACCAAGTCCCAGGTTGATGATCTGACTTTCTGCCTCATTCACACACAATTGCAGGGTCTCAATTGTTTCTCTTTCTATTGACAACACAACAGATATTTTGTTCCTCGCTTTAAATCTTTTTTTCATTTTTATATTAATTATGTTTCTTTACTATTATTATTATTATTATATAATATAGTGTTATTATTATTATTATTATTTTATTTTTTTAATTTACAGTAAATTATTATTATTTTTGTCCCCCCCAGACCCCGATGTGGGTCAGTGACCTGTGCCCAGATGGGCTAATCCCCGAAAAAAAAAAAAACTTACCCAGCACAGCATAATTGACTTTAAATATTCTATATATCTTTAATTATTTTAATTGTCATTAATTAACACTAATTACTTAAATTTTTAAATTGCAAATCCAGATCCTTAATCAGCATGTAAAGTAGTACCGGCACCTTTGTGTGAAATCTGAACAAAATCCATGGTATGACCCAAATTGCCGAAATGCATATTTTTGACGTCAAACATCATTTTTTGGGCAAAGTGAAAACCAGTCACAGCATCATGGTTGGCCAGTTTAAACCAAACAAAAAACGTTTTTTTGCATGTGTTTTTTAATCAATGCATTTTTCTTGGTTTTAATAAATTTGGGGGTTTTAATGTTTTGTTTTTTTACTTACAGTAAAAAATTTTTTGCTCCTTCACACTTTTTCCTATGTAATGCAGGATGACCAGAATCAAGAGAATCAATATACAGTACTGTACAGTACTGTAGTACATAAATTATAGTACATGCACACACACATATTGTACACACTTCAATAAAATTCTTAAAATCAAAGATATAGTTACCTATTTCAATGGACTTCTGTAGACATTCCCAGGTAGTCTTGACTAGGTTTCTTGCTATACTATTTACTTCTCCAATAAACAAAGTTTCGTTCAAGTCACCGTGGAAATTGCGATGATAAACCGTAACATCAACTGTGGATGAAACATAAAACATTTAAGTACTGTATTGTATTTTCTCCATTGTTTTGTATCAACATTCTTGTGAAATACACAATTTGATACAAAAGCCAATTACCTGCATCAACATAAATACATTCATTTCTCTGGTTTATATAACAAATCCGAATAATTGTGTGTAGAACTGTCACTACAAGAGGAGGAAGGGTGGTGGGTGCCTGGGACAAGTTATACCTTAGTGACACCCCTGCAGTCGACAGGCAGGAAATAGGGATTTGAAAGGCATATTTAACAAACAGATCTGCATAAGTGAACATTCAATTCCATGACAAACAACATGTTAGATCATAAATCAATAACTAGATTGTCTTACTTCCAAGCACATATCTGCTTTATTCCAGGCAACCAAGACCTCACTGGTACCACTATTGAGTACAACAACACAAGCATTAATTAAAGCACACATTAATCAGCACATCCCATTCACCTATGCACCTTAAATATCCCAAGGACTAAAGCAAGACACAAACTAGACAGACATTATGGGTCAGTGACTAATATTTTGCCTTGAACTTGGTAACTTTCAAAGGGATATTGGTGTCATTAAATGAACACACTAGTCCCATGGGTCTGTCTTCCTGTACAGATGGAAACACAAAGAAGAAACAGGTGGACAGCAGAGACGGACCTGTAGCTACACCATAAAGATAAACACCAGGACTTACTGTTGCATATGTCTCCATTTTGCAGCGGCCTCATGTCTGGGATGCCATGGCAGATGACCTCATTGATTGATGTACAACATGACTTGGGAAAACCGTGGTAATTGAGGGGTGACGGGTAACACTCTCTCTCGACGGCAGCTTCGTGTACGATGCGATCAACCTCGTCTGTTGTGACACCGATGCCCGCTGCCTTCACTCCCTCGTCCAAAACTTCTCGAGCCAACTGGAAAAAAAAAATTTACAATTTAATTCACAAATGAGCAAACACACACAATACACCTGGAGCAAAATTAATGGATTCTTGCTACTATTATGAAGGTGTTCTACTGTGACACTCCCCATTAAGCCCCACAAATGGTTTATCTTAAGTCACCTCACACAACCTACTGTAGCATCACCCATCACACCAATCTAAATAACAAAAAATTGCTGCATTAAGCCAAGCCACCTTAGTGCACACAGTTATAATACACTTGTATGTGCCTTCCCGGTTAAAGATAAATCCGAGACAACAATAAGCAAATCTGGTTACCTTGCAGGCCACTCTCATCCCCTCAATCTCCTCATCTGAAAGGCACTTGATGTTGGTGGATCCTCGTAACTTCTGCTCTGAGTGAGGGAATCCATTTGGGTCGTCTGCATAGTCTGGTCTGCCTATAGGAGGAGGAACTTCTCTCTTGTTGCTTTGAGGGTATGGTCGTAAACTGCCTGTCAGGAGAACACAACACACTACAGTACAGACCAGACCAGCACTTCAGTAAACAAACCTTGAACAAAATCATCACCAAAATATACAAGTTCCATCTCTCAAGACTCTAGTATAAGTCTACATGTCACAGAAAACTGAGAATGGATGTGTTTTGTTTATATATATATAGAGTACTGCTGCCATTTCTTTGCAGTTTCTGAACACTTTGATTAAAATTGAGGTAAATATACAGACAAATGGAAAACTATGACTTTACTGCGCTCTGTTAGATGATGGGTGTACAGTACTGTATATAAAAAAATTTAATAAAATTCAACATTCACCTTGTATATCATTTCATTATTTTTATCAAACTACTATATATATTGCTAAGAGAAGATCCACAAGGACTATTATATCAGGTTTACAAAAGGTGACAGCCTTATGGATATTAACTGGAGGAAGAAAGTGTACTGTACTGTACTGTACTTACCAGTAAACATGTAGTATGGCCAGGGGTTGTACTGCGAGGAGTTGGAATCACTGGCTCCTGAAATATTCTTAAACTGAGTAACTGCTCTCTGAACTATTGAATATCCAGGAAAATACTGCAAGTAGTTGTCTAGCTGTTGGGTGAGCCATGGTGTCTCTGTACCAACAAGACAACACTCGGTTAATTTTTGGCTTGGCAGTTGACAGCAAACAATAGCAAGAGGTTTGTATCTTCAGTGCCTTAATCAACCAACAACAACAACAAGTAAGCAAATAATTAACTGCATGGATGCTACCAGGAATCTATGTTACACTGATTAAACCCATAACCACCTCAATCTGGGTCAGGACTAACACACACACCATGGAAGAAATACATTCCTGTTTTATTACAGCTAGTAGAGTACAGTAGGAAGAACTGTTTTGTGGGCTCAACAATGAAGAATAAGACAATGATTGTAAAACTTTAATAAATTCTTAAAAAAGCAACACGAACATTATCAGGCATGAGACTAAATGAGACTTTAAGTATGTCTGGATGAGGTGAAGTGAGAGGTTTTATAAAGCAAGGTAATGTTAACAAGTTGAATGAAGACCAGTAAGGTTAGGGTTTGTAAGAGAAGGAGAAAATGGTTGAAGTGAGTGTGAAGAAAACAAGAAGCGACAGTACTGTACAATGTGTGGATTCAATCAAGTACAGCCTCAAAATGTGAATACAGTACAGTATTGTACCATGATCTAGAGACAAGTTAAAAACATCAATAAAACAGTGTTACCTTTACTACAATGACTGATAAAATTGATGTGGCACGAGAGAACTGACCAAAAAAGGAGGTGCAGAAAAGGTATTGCCATGAGAAAAAATAATAATAATACAGTAATCTGGTACTGACATTACACACCCACACCTGTAGCTCCACAAGACAGTAGGGAGATACACACTTGGTTCACTACGAGTGACAAAGTTTATCTATTGATCAGTTTTCTAAGTACTTACAGTATTTCAACTTTTATCCACAGATCCTTAAAATGTCAATTACATTATGTCTGTAAGGTTGAAATTATGTTTACAGGCAATCTCCGGGTTGTGAGCGAGTTCCGTTCCTGGGGACGGTCTTAAGTCGAAAATGTATGTAAGTCGAAACACATGCTATGTGCATACTGTACTTACAGAACAATGTTTAAAGTCCCATTATATCATATCCTAGGTCCTTATATACTGTACATCTAAAATCACTTAGTTTAAGAGAAAAGAAGAAATAGATTGACAAATTAGAGTAAATGAAAGTAAAAAATAAGTCATCAGTTAAATATGGGCAACAACCACAACCAGACTATAACAGCTACGACAAGACCTCTACAGTTTACCTCAAGAGATGATGAGAGGGGAGATAACATCATATTATTTCTCTTACAGTAAGTTCACATATCAGCAAAGGTCTTCATGCCCACAGACTTAAGAGATAAAGTAACAGTTCACTATAAGTACACTATAATGAATGGAGTGTAAACTAACAATGCAAAAATAATTACAATTAAATCATTAAGGTGATAAATGACAACTCATGAACAATATAAGTAATAAATATTTGAGGATCAAAATTATTATGGAAATAATTTAAAGAATGTGTTCAAAATATATTATTTTATAATTCTCATTAATATTTGTGTGGCATATTCATAATTAATTGAAAGAATGTTTACAAAAGCCTGAAAAAAAGTCACTGTACTTCTTCAATTCAGAAAAACACACAAGGCTCATACTTTCATCATGCAATTTTACAGATCTAGAGCAGCTATGTTCAGTGCACGAGACGTCACACAGAAACTTACTGGTCTTTTTGTGAAGGAGTTTGTGTGAGTCCCAGGAACCCTTAAAGCAACTCTGCAAATAAAGAACAAATGTTAGACATAATGTAAGAAGTGACATTACTGTTACAGACATGTTCTGGAGTACATACAGTATATTGAGACTTGGAACAAAGTTGGCGAGACCAAGTTTATGGCCAAAACGGTAAGCCTTACCCCTTAAAGAAATTTAGGCAGGACACCGTTTCTTTCAGAATTGAAATTTAAAGTAAACCAAAATACTTGTAAAACATAAAAACCAAAAAGTTAACCTTGAAAAACCATAGGCGGCAAGTAATTAGCAATGAAAACAGGGCTGGCGAAAACCATTTTTTTAAACCGAACACCAATGTTTAAAAAAAATTAAAAATTTGGTTTTAATGCTAGGAAGTTAGGTAATGTTAGGTCAAGTTCTATTAGGTTGTTGTTAATGTTGCCTCTTTTAAAATATTTACTATAATGATAAGAATATATAGAATAATGAACAAAACCAAACAACTCCGGTAAATTTGCCTGGGCTCAATTCCAACCTAAACCGCATAATATTCTGGTAACTATTCATTTCTGACGGAGATGCCATAGAAGAAAGGTGTCTTAGAATAGCCTGAACTATGTGTAAGACGTGTTTTGAATTAAGAAATTGAGTTGTTCTAAAAATGCTTGAGGATAATAAAGAGGATGATGTTGGTCACCAGATTTAGTTGAGTTTGGTGCCCCAGAACCGTCCTGGCTGTGTCAACATGGAGGTGTATCTGTACTAAACATATTTAACATCTGACGACATTTAATACATGGTCATTTATCATACAGATCACTACACTAGTCTTAATAGTTTTTTTGTAATAGGCGATGAAAATATTTGTTGGCCGGGAACTGGAGTAATGACCGGCTTACACCTCCACTATTAACTTCACCTGTGAGCAGAAGAATGATCCTTGAATGCCTAGTTTGATACATGTTGGACATTGAAGCTTGGCCTCAGAGTTACAGCCACTGGTCTCACAGACGTGGGTTATGGCCCCGTTGGCGGACATCTTTGTTGTCGTGCTGTGGCCGAGGGACCCGAGCCTAAAGTGTCTTCCTACCACACTACTACGAGCCTACTACCACACTACTACGAGCCTACTACCACACTACTACGAGCCTACTACCACACTACTACTTCTCCTCCTTCTACACAAACATAAATACCGAATATAAATATATATATAGTTAGATCTATAATTCTTCTATAAAATTATAAAAATTCACATTATTTCAGTATGTACAATTGGACATAGAATGCTGGGATACTAACAAAACAACCATTTAAGTCGTTTTTCCAGGATAGAACTTTAATTAAGAAATATCCACATCAGTATAAGTTGAAGGCTCACAGTATTTACTATGTCATGACACTACTATAACTTCTACTGCCTTAACTTGCACACTAATATAAATGTATCTAATATCAATGTAACTAAACGGTCGTCATGCCAAACCTACCAAAAGAGAGAAATGCAAAGCGGTTTCATTGTATCATGTAATTGTGTATAATGTCTCGTCTCCTGTGAGCATCATACTGTCTTAATATTTTGTGCAGGTAATAATATTGTTCAGAGGATCTCAAATTTAATGACTGCAGGAGAGTTATATTACTGTGCTTCAACAACTAAGGCCTTGAAGCTCGTAACTAGGCTATCAATTACGCTAATCATCATTAATTAAAATATTATATGGATATATTATCAAGGAGACTTTGTAACATGTAAACGAGGTGTTTCACTGTTGATGCCGTGAATAGCTGAGTGGTGAGATTTGTACTCCGTTTAAATGGCTTTCTTCCCTGGGCATGGATGGGTGTCACATGATACAGGTGTTCGCTGGCAGCTGTTGGTACAGGTGTTGGCCAGTAGAGACAGACGCTGGAGGTGTTCGCTAGTAGAGACAGACGCTAGAGGTGTTCGCCATTAGAGACAGACGCTGGAGGTGTTGGCCAGTAGAGACAGACGCTAGAGGTGTTCGCCGTGACACAACAACGACAACAACCAAGCCAACCTTCAGCCACCACTAATACCCGATGGTTATTATCATCACCTATTGACCTCTTCTTCATGGCCCAGTTGTGGTCATTGTTTGTGGTTGTTGGTGTGTGTTGCTCCTTGGTTGTGGTGATGGTGGTTGTTGTTTCAGTCAAGTGAGGAACAAGAAACAAGTCACAAGTTTAAATACACCATTGCTTCTTGCTTGCTTGCTGGTGTTAATTAAGTCACTTCAACTAGGCAATTAAGTCACAGCTTAGTAGACGGTTGTTAATGACTTGTGATGTTACGTGTGAGGTTGTTTAATGGTTGTGAAGTGTTGTTAGCGGTGTGTGGAGCAGTGTTGGTCATGGTACTGTGTCACCCCTGGGAAGGTGATCAAGTGTGTTGTGGAGTGTGTTTACTGAAGTGTGTTGTGGTGTGTTTAGTGAAGTGTGTTGTGGTGTGTGTTTAGTGAAGTGTGTTGTGTTGAGTGTTTACTGAAGTGTGTTGTGGTGTGTTTAGTGAAGTGTGTTGTGTTGAGTGTTTAGTGAAGTGTGTTGTGTTGAGTGTTTAGTGAAGTGTGTTGTGTTGAGTGTTTAGTGAAGTGTGTTGTGTTGAGTGTTTAGTGAAGTGTGTGTTGTGTTGAGGGTTTAGTGGTGAAGTGTGTTGTGTTGAGTGTTTAGTGAAGTGTGTTGTGTTGAGTGTTTAGTGAAGTGTGTTGTGTTGAGTGTTTAGTGAAGTGTGTTGTGTTGAGTGTTTAGTGAAGTGTGTTGTGTTGAGTGTTTAGTGAAGTGTGTGTTGTGTTGAGTGTTTAGTGAAGTTGTGTTGAGTGTTTAGTGAAGTGTGTTGTGTTGAGTGTTGAGTGTGTTAGTGAAGTGTGTTGTGTTGAGGGTTTAGTGAAGTGTGTTGTGTTGTGTTGTGTTGAGTGTTTAGTGAAGTGTGTTGTGTTGAGTGTTTAGTGAAGTGTGTTGTGTTGAGTGTTGAAGTGTGTTGTGTGTTTTAGTGTGTTGTGTTGAGTGTTTAGTGTGTTGTGTTGAGTGTTTAGTGAAGTGTGTTGTGTTGAGTGTTTAGTGAAGTGTGTTGTGTTGAGTGTTTAGTGAAGTGTGTTGTGTTGAGGGTTTAGTGAAGTGTGTTGTGTGTGTTTAGTGAAGTGTGTTGAGTGTTTAGTGAAGTGTGTTGTGTTGAGTATTTAGTGAAGTGTGTTGTGTGTTGAGTATTTAGTGAAGTGTGTTGTGTTTAGTGAAGTGTGTTGTGTTGAGTGTTTAGAAAGTGTGTTGTGTTGAGTGTTTAGTGAAGTGTGTTGTGTGTTTAGTGAAGTGTGTTGTGTTGAGTGTTTAGTGAATGTGTTGTGTTGAGTGTTGAGTTGAGTGTTTAGTGAAGTGTGTTGTGTTGAGTGTTTAGTGAAGTGTGTTGTGTTGAGTGTTTAGTGAAGTGTGTTGTGTTGAGTGTTTAGTGAAGTGTGTTGTGTTGAGTGTTTAGTGAAGTGTGTTGTGGAGCATTTAGTGAAGTGTGTTGTGTTGTGTTTAGTGAAGTGTATTGTGGAGCGTTTAGTGAAGTGTGTTGTGTTTAGTGAAGTGTGTTGTGTTTAGTGAAGTGTGTTGTGTTTTATGGTCTGCTGTTGCTGTATTTATGTGTTTGGTCGTCAGGTATTATATGATCGGTTTTTTCTATTTAACTTACATTCAGAAATACTGTGTTTTTATTTACATTACATTTACATTATCATTTTATTCATTGCTTTTTCTTGTGTAACTTTTCCTTGGTTATAATTCTAGCGAGGTCAGAAACAGACAGAATTTAATATGTTACTTGCCTTCTCCCAGTAGAATATTTACAAGTCTGTCTAGTTTTCCATCTTCACTTTCAGATAACACTGCATCAGCTGTCTTGGAGAGAAAAACAAGACACCAGTTTTTGTGATAAAAATAGCAAAAGACTTTCCTTTTGTGGCTACGTGAGAACATGTTGCTTATTGGTGTCAAAAATTAGAACCAGGTTGCTCAAAGACCATAAGTAATGTCTTCTGTGAAACTTGACCAAAACAACAAGAAAGAGGACGAAAACGCCAAATGTGGAATGATGAACGTTAGCGAAGATTCAGCCACAGAAGTCAAAGATAGAGAGGAGCAAGATGGAGGATACTTTGAGGCCATGATGGAACAGAACAACGAGGACGATAGTGATGAATCCATTGACTCGTTTGTGAGGAGGACGGAAAAGGAGAGCAAACAGAACTTAGAACGCGAGATGAAGTTCCCAAAGAAAAAGGAGGCATTGGTTGTTGATGGGTGTGTTTATGGCACGGAAGAGGAGGAGGAGGAGGAAGAGGAGGAGGAAGAAGAGGAAGAAGAAAGTAGCTCGGATGTAGATGTAAAAATTCCAAAGGACGTCAAAGCAACGGCCGAGACCACAGAAATGTCACTTAAACCAGAAAGTGTTGAATTGACTTTGCATGATACAAGTGAAAATGGAAAAGATAAAATGATGGAAAATGAAGGAAATAATGAGATGGCAGGTGAAGGTGACGCTGTAGGTGAAGGTGACGCTGTAGGTGAAGGTGACGATGAGGTGATAGGTGAAAGTGACGAAGAGGTTATAGGTGAAGGTGACAATGAGATGGCAGGAGAGGGTGACAATGAGGTGATAGGTGAAGGTGACGACGAGGTGGAAGGTGAAAGTGACAATGAGGTGATAGGTGAAGGTGACGACGAGGTGGAAGGTGAAAGTGACAGTGAGGTGGTAGGTGAAGGTGACGACGAGGTGGAAGGTGAAAGTGACAATGAGGTGGTAGGTGAAGGTGACGATGAGGTGATAGGTGAAGGTGACGATGGTTTGATGACAAGTGAGGGAAAGGAAGACAATGTGATGATGGAGGAGGAGGAGGAGGAGAAGGATGAAGTAGGTGAAGAAGAGGTGGATGATGGATTAACTGGGAGCCATGAAGAAGGTGTGGATGGTAAGGGGAAGAAAAATGTGTTGCCAGGTGAAGATGGTGAGATGACAAGAGAGGAAAAAGAAGATTTGATGATGGGAGATGATGATGATGTGATGATGAAGGAAGATGAAGCAACAGGTGAAGAAGAAAAGGAAGATGTTATGACTGGTGAGGATGATGAAGATGATGATGATGATGATAATGAAGAGGAGGAGGAGGAGGAGGATGTGTTGACAAAGAAAGAAAAGAAAGATGAAACTGCAGGTGAAGATGATGATGATGATGATGATGATGATGATGATGTTATGGATGATGAAGATGATGTGATGACAGTTGAAGAAAAGGAAGATGAGATGATGATAGGTGAAGATTATGACATCATTGCAGGTGAAGATGATGACGATGACGACGATGACGACGATGATGACGATGATGATGATGACGCCACTGTGAATGAGAGAGTAGAGGCGTTCATAGCAGCTAAGGAAAAGGGGGAGAACATCATAGCAGGTGAAGGTAAAAAAGATGATTTGATGGCAGATGATGATGATGAAGAAAGTGATGTACTGGGCAGTGAAGAAGATGACATTACAGCAGACGAAGAAGGGAACGACGTGATGACTGGGGAAGACGACGATGATGACCTAATGGCTGGGGAAGGAGGAGAATATGATGACATGGTAGATGATGTTGAGGGTGACATGATGGCTTATGAGGACATAGAACTGGGGTCGGAGTCCTCTGGGGGCAGCGAGGGCACCGATTCACTGTCAAACAGTTTTCCACGCAGTAAATACCCCGACACAATAGAAAAAAATGAAAGAAAAGAAGATGCCAAGAATGAAAATGGTAAAACTAGTCAGTCGAAGGTCGATGAGCGTGGTCTAGAAAACCGTGAGGTCCAGTCTGATGATAAAGATGAACTAAGCACAAGTGGAGGTGACCAAACAGAGACAGAGACAGAAGGTGTTAATAAACAAAATAACTCACAAAATGAAACTGAGAAGAGTGATTCAATATGTAAAGGTAATGAAGAAAACACAGCAGCAGAACAAGTGAACGCAGACAAGAACGCTGTAGACCGTCGGGAAACATTAACCTCCGAGGATCTGAGAGACGGCGAGACCAGCGGGGAGGTTACCGAGGCCGACGAAGACTGTGAATCTTTAAGCAACGATGAAGTCCCTAAAGTTAATAATTTGGAAACGAAGCAAGTGGTACACTCCCCACCGGCCATCACCATCACCAAGTGCGGAAATGAAAATCATCATAACTACACTCGGGTTGAAATATCGAAAAATGATGAAAGTGATGCACAAAACGAGCAAGTGAAGACGATGGAAGTTCCCGATGAGGTAGAAGAACCAGAGCAAGAGGCAAATGAAGTGAAAAGTGATAGTAGGGGTTTGGGGGGTGAGGGAGGTGAGGGAATTTTAGAACTGAAAAGTGAGGAATGTGTGAAAATTGCACATACAACAAACAAGAGTGGGGTAGTGAACACAGAGATCAAGAGTGAAGAAGATAAGAAACACCAAGTTATCAGTAAAAATCAAGAGAAAAAGGTTAGTGAGAGTGAGCCAAGTACAGATTTGGATAAAGGTTTAAGAAGGTCGACCAGGACCCAAATTTTTATCAGTAAAGAAAGTGGAATTACTGTTAAAAAAAAATCTGATGGAGATGGAAGTAGAGCAGTTAGCAGAGATGAACTAGCTGGTGGTGATGGTGTTACCTTGGTTAAGAAAACTGTGTCAAACATACAGAGAGTTAAGAGAAAACTCGAGGAAATCCAGGAAGTGTCCAAAACTGAAGAGGACGCTGCTATAGAGGAACTCCACAAAATGAAGAGAGAAAAGACGGAGATACTGAACAAAATAACGTCGGAGATGGGGAGGTTGAAGAGTCTTTTGACTAAAGACAAACTCCTGGATCAAGAGAAATGACAAACTTGATGAGGAAGACATTGCATACAGTTATCTGAAACATGTTACTGTAATACTTTTCAATGTTCAAATAGATATGGTAGTATTAAATACAGTATGGTAAAAACCTTGAATTTTTTACCGTTATTGAATATCTGCTAACATGGTACAGATACAGTATATGTTATATCTTATAGGTATGTAAGATATTTATGTCTTAAAGGAGAAATACATGAAACTCATGCCAGTTTATGTACAATAATGTAGAGTTAAATTGGTCTCCCATCAACTAGGAATTTTCACACAATTATAATATGTTGAAGTAAAAGGTGAAGGTGTGTGTTCAGGAGCCTCAATGATTATCTTAATTACCTGTATAGTATGTGGCATTTAAAGGGTTTCTATGTAAGGAAATTTAATTTTCGGGAAATTTTATGGTGCTTGGAATTGGAACGGTGACTTAATAGATTTTGAACTCAAGAATGACAAGCTATTTCTCCTTGGTCACTTTTACACCTCTGTCCTGCCAGTACACTGGAGGAGATAAGGGGGGAATTTTGCTGGAATGAGTCAGGACTTGGAAGTGAGGTTAAGTTGAGTCTGTTTAGTTTAACTTGGTGTAACCCCTTGAGTATGGTGATTTAACCCCAAGTACAGTGCCATCATATGCAGAGGACTAGGTCACTTTTTTCAAAAGGTCAAGAGTAAAGACATCATACTTACGGAATAAAGTTGCTGTACTAATGTGAATGTTTTGCCAAGATAATTTGTGGGTGTTTCCGTGCTCAAGGGGTTCAGCCAGTTTCGGGTGTTGTTGAGATCATCAAACATGGTGTGTTGTTACCACTCTTGTGTTATAACAAACATGTTACTCTGGAAAATAATCATAACTTGAGTAATTTGAGTCAAAAGCCAATTTTCCTGTTTTGATTTTGAATGCCTGTACTGTACCACTAAATTTCTGCACACCAAAAATTATTATTAATATTAGTATTATTACAATTGGAGTACACCTTGCTGAAAAGGTGAAGACCTTTGCTCGGCATAAATCATGTAAGAAGAATTATAAAAATACAGTCACTAAAAACACACACACACACACACACTGCTTCCTTTAATATAAACCAGACTACTATAGGGGCCTCACTAGTACTGTACACACACCTTCACTCTGATGATCTGTGACATCAGTCTTGTGTTTTGTTACAAGGGAATGTATTGTATTGTTTATATACAGTAGTTTAATATCTGCACACAAATTGTCATTAGCATAATTGCCAGTTCCTTAGTACAGTAATTGTTTATTGGAATAGAAATGGCTTTTTATATTTGACTATGGTTAGACTTTTATGCACCAGCTTCTGAAATTGCTTGATTTAAGGGCTGCCTATTATACAAGTTTGGTGTTGTATATTTTAGTATGTAAATGACTTACTGTAATACTTTTCTTGTTTCAGTAGTTACTAAAGAACAAAGGAATAAGAAATACTATGTATTTTCGTGCATTTTTTTTTTTAACTGGTATTAACCTTAGTGTGTGTCTGTGTGTACATGAAGGAAGTGTGTGTAGATAATACATGTGTGCTGTAACATGTAATGACATTTCTGTAGTATGAGGTTGTATCGATAAGACAAGGTTGATGGTTACAAAAGGTGGACAGTGTGGTGCTGGTAGAGAAAGTGTGCAGTGAGGGACATAGAGGTTTTGTAAACAGTATTGTGTTGAGCATAAACATTGTTGCTGGTTTAAAATTTCAAATTCTGTAGTCAGAGAATTTTGTGAAGAATGAAGACCAACTGTAAGTGAGTGGAGGAATAAACATTGCTGATTATAAAGTGAGAATTAACAGGATTAGTTAATGGTATAGTACTGTACATAATTACCCACAGGTGTGTACTGCACTGTATAGTATTGTACAGGTCACATCAAAAGTCAAAGAGTAGTCTGATGTAGAAAATACACAGGTGAAAAATTGTCAATACTGTAATTATAGTATGAAGAGAGAGAGTCAGACTCTGGAAGACAAAAAGAGAGAACTTAGAAATATGTTGTATGAGAGGTTTGAGTAAGAGGGGGATAAGCCACAATATATGCTAATTTCATTTTTTTCTATCAAGGCCACTACTGTACCTATATAAAGCTTATGACTCAATTGAATACTTAGAAGTTACTGTTGGAGTTCCCACACTTTCTGGCAGATATTAGCGGGGAAAAGGGAGATAAGCTACACACTTCTCCCTTTATAAATATGCCATCTTCCCTTTGTTGGCCAGTTCCTCATGCTGTACAGCACAGGCATCCCTCCATCTACAGAGTGTTTTTAGGAGCAGAACCCTTTCACAGTTGGAAGAATGCTTGTACACTACACTGCAGTATGTATGATGTTTGCTAAAAAAAAGGTGTGTAATACAGTGCAGGCATCCCTCTACAGCAGCATTTCTTAACCTGGGGTGATGGGAAAGGGCTTCTGTCAAGTGCAGTTTGATACATTAGGGCAGTTAGACTACACATACCCCTGTAGCAACTGTAGTCTCTGCAACCAGATGAAGGTATGCTGGACTGCCTAGACCTGACTACAGGGGGTGCTGAGGTCGGAAAATATTAAGAAATGCTGCTCTACAGTGTTTACAAAAGACTGATCTACACATGGTTGTCTGGAACGGAACCTTTATGTAAGTCGTAAGATGCCTGTAAGCTGTAACACACCTGTAGGAGTATTGTACTGAAGAAGAAATGAACATGTATTTGTGGAGAGTTAAGTGGGTGTTGTAAAGTAGAGGGAAGGTGTGTGTGTGATATTTAAGATATTTAAAACTTTATTATTAAAAGAAATGATTGACAGTAGAATTACCAGTGGAACAATTAAACATTTTTGGCATACAGCGAAAATATTCTGTATACATGTGTGTTGTGTTGTGAGCAATATACAAGAAAAAAGTTAACATATTTAATTAGTATTGATATTGAACATATTTTGATACAAATTATGGTGTAGGTCCAGAATTTCTCATTCTTTGGAGGAAATGTAAAGTCACGTACACTACACTACTGTATATATAAAGCATTACTGCGTGTTTAGGGATATATTGTTCAGGGTGTCTTAAAAAATGTATACACACTGCTTTATAGATACTTGTGGCAACGTTACAACAGTAACATTGTCGTCACTTGTTGATGCTTGACTCACAAGTGAGAACAGACTTACCATTGTAATACTTTAGTACTGTACAAGATTCACACGCTCACAAAAATCTATAAGGCAGTGTGTACAGTACATATATTTTTGAGTCACTCTGTATGCTGAGAATGGTCATATCTTGTGGCCACAAGTGTGGCAGGAGTACAGGACAGTACAGTATTGTTTTTCTATTAGTCAGTCCACAGCAACTTCACGGTCTCTTTTAAATTCTCAGACTCTGGACTTGTTTCATTTCTCCCTTGTTTATAATTTTTTACAAATAATGTAATCTTTAATTATCTATCTTCACTTTTCTAAGGTAGCCTACATGATTTACATTCTACCTCTGCAGTACTGTATTTTGTTTAACACTTAAACAGCAGCCATCATCAGTGGAAGTTAGCTATAGGGAGGACAACCATCATCAGTGGATAGTTGGTGTTCTTTATATTCCATTTTAGCATGTACAGGTACTGTACTGTATGAGAGCAGAGTAGGGAATCCTTACCCACAGGTTAAAGGGGTTGAGTGGTGGGATCACTTCACCCTTTAGAATTTTTCTGTAAATAGTTTGACTTTTGTCAAAGTCATTTGACACCAATATGGAGATGTTGGTAACCAGAATATATGGCAAAGTATGTTTATACAGGTCCATAAAGCTGCCAGTGTGATACAAGGCACATCACTTAACTCTTAGTGTTTTATTGAACCAACTTGCAGAAGTTTGGAGTCCAGATTCAGATGTTCTGCATGTTTATTTTGTTCCTTAACTGGTGCTAAGTGAAAGTGCCGTACAGTATTTAGTGAAGGTTCAGTCTCAGTGTAATTGCATACAGTATTGTTGGTGATGCTTTGTGTTTGGGCTATTTGAGCCTCTTGCACAAGTTATTTTATCTCTCATTACTGTACAAGGAAACATCAAGGTACAAACCTTAGAGAATATATACTGTATACAGTACAGTACTTGGGTGTGCAAGTGTTGTAGAGGTTTGAACTGAAGTAATTTGAATTTAGGGCATTGTGTGAATGTTGTGGAGCCTTAAATGTATCTCTTAGGCACTGTTACAAGAATTGCTTAATGAGCCAGTGAATACAATACAATACTGCAATTTGGTAAAGCAGATTTTATTTTTGGTCTGAGATTAGTAATCAGGAATTTCCTATAACCAATTTATTTTCATAAGAAATTTCAATACTGTACATAGCCCAGTGATAATATTTAGTGTACAGAACAGATGCTCTGAAAATGGTGTGTGTACAAAATACATACATTAGCATGTACCTTTATACTGTACTGTATATCATTACTCTAGTAAAGGCTTAACAATAACATATGATGGAACAGACTTCATCAATGAGGACAATAAAATATCACCCCAATGTTGTGGCAAGTTGCTGGTTTATGGTTTCAACAAGACTTATGTTGTGTTCCTAAGTGTGTATGTGTGGGTTCTTGGCCAGTTTGCTTTTCATCTGCTCCTTTATACAAGTTAACCCAATTTATCCACCCATACCAAGAGCCACATCAGATTGTGGTGGATGGTCTGAACTTAACCTTTGTCATTATGGTGAAGGTGGTAACTGCTGGGGTAATGTACTTGTGAGATCTGGTTAATGACCACTGGAGCTGTATGTGCTTCTTTGCTCTGTAAGGACATTTTCCCAAACTACTCGGTGAAATTTGCCACACAGCTGACTGATGCCGGGGTTAAGTCTGACATATCAGTGTGTGAAGGAAACCACAATAGGATGACATTTCTTCTAAATGTTCTTTGTACAATAGTTGTATGAAGAACAAAGATACTGTTAGATGACCTACAGTATATTGTTTTTGGGTTGAGATTTATGTTCAAATTTGAACAGCCGAGTGGAAGTCTGCATGCATGCATTCAGTGGTTCTTCTTTGACTCAAGTTGTTAATACTGAGAGGAAGGCTGGTGGGGGCTGTTCATTGCCAATTCTTCAGACTTTCTTTGTGGGTCAGTTTGTGAGGATCTTGCATTGCTGTTCCTCTGATCTTGACTGCACCAGACATCGGTGGCATTAGTCATTTTGTAGGTAGTCAGCTTTCTTCTATGACCTCTACAGTACCGTATATTTTCTGTTGGATGTACAGTATAGTACTGGTCAAATTCTTGTAGTTCCTTTTATATTTGTTTTGATCCTTTGGTTGACACCTTGGTTGGTGCTCAGGCTGACTGGGGACAGTTGCCATGTGTTCTTGAAGTTCCACTTGGATAGACCCACTGCAGCCAGGGCCATGGGACATTTCACACTCTAAGCCATAAGGGTCTGGCTATAGTTGGTACACTTAATAGTTTCTGAGATTCCTTTCACTAACAGATCTTGGTGTTGTAAAAAAAGACAGCGAGTCACAGTGTACAGTACTGTACTGTACAGGGTGTACAAGAAAAAATATGTATACACACTGCCTTAGATTTTCTTGATCATATGAACACTTTACTTGTACTATTACAACAGCCATATTGTCCTAACTTGTGGGAGACCTCGCACATCAATAAAGTAATCTCCACTAAACTCTGTGAAGCAATGTGTGTACATTTTTTCTGAAATACCCTGCCCGGCTATCACTTGTGAGAGGTGGAGCAGAAGGATCACTGCAGTAGCACCATTCTAACTGTATTTTAATTTTAAATTAACTTTGACCATTGATGCTGTTTCATTTACTCACTGAAAAGCAGCTGGCATATTCTGTTGGCATTCTGACCAATCATCCTGATGATTTTAACTTTTTTTAGATTATTACTGTACAGTACTTGCAGATTGTTAATAATCATTTAGTTACAGTATTACCTGTATGAACTTCTCTAGTCCAAGTACATATATTAACTGTTATGGTTCTGGTAACATAAAATGTTCTCTTTAGCAAACAACTAAAATCCGTTTCACTACATTGGCTGGTTGTACAGTATCACTGGATGGCATAGAGTACTGTACAGTACAGTATCAGGTGAAGGAAGTGTTGACACCCCCATACTTCCTGTTGTAATATTTATCATGGCTTTTTTCAATTGGTTATTATATAATCAGTTATTATAGGTAGGAAGTGTATCAATGTATCACTTCAAGTAATTAAACTATGACTGCTGCACTCCATTACACTTTTATTTGTCCATCGCTTGATAAACTTTGGCATAAACAAGTTAGGGATAATTTCAGTCATATGTCCAGCTTTTCCAGCATTTATCATTACTTTTCAATTATTTCTTTATCATGTACCTGAATGAGACAGCAACTTGTTAGTACAGTATATTGGTTTTGCTATTAAGTTTTGAAATAATAAATACTAGACCTTATTAATGATCTTTTGTTTTAAATAAGAATAACCACAATCTATCTTCCCTTCCTGCAAATGCAAAATATTCTTTTGCATTTCACATTTAGCCACAACTCGATGTTCCATTATCCCGGACCATACTAACACAGTCACTTACATCTATGTATAAAAGTACAAGGCCAAGTTGGTGTAGTGTGAGGACAGAATCTCCATGAGGAAAAACCTAAGTTGTCAGGTGTATGTGTGTACAGCATAATGTTAGGGAAGGTGAACTGGAAATTCTAAACAATTCCTTATTACACACATCAACCTAAGGGTCATAACCACCACACACAAGGTCTGCTTGGCCAAAATTTGCCTTTATTTAATCTCATGGAAGTGAAAATCATATTAATGACAAAAGTAGCACCAAAAATATAAATTAAATGCATATCCCCTTTTCTCAAAATTTCATAGAAAAATGGCTTTGCATCATTTGAACATATCTTGATGATGTCGTATTAGGAATAGTGAGGAAGAGGTAATCTATTTGAAGAGCTTAAAATAATCAACATTTTAAGGCCATTTTCCACGTCTGTGCGCGTTAGCCACAACTACCTGATGGCCGTTGTCGGGTAACACCAGAACTGGATGCCTCCCTTCCCACTCACCACCTCAAACCCAGGGCACCGGCCCAGAAAATGCAGCAGAGACCAGGGGATGGGCACAGTTTTGGCAAACCCAGTTGCCATCAGGCATGTTTAAGTGAAGTTGTATAACTTGATGACCTTCCCCAAAACAACCCACAGTACAGTAGGGTCACATCTCCCAGGGGTAAAGCACAATACAGTACATACACTAATTACTGTACTGTGAGTTATGCTTTAATATAACACAAAATGCTTCCTGCCAGCCAACAACAATGGATGTACCAAATCTTCCTTATGAAAATTATTTTTATTCATATTATTTCTTCATCAATACATATAGAAGATATGAAACAGTTGATCAACATGTAAAGAATAACATTTAAATACAGTACTGTACAGTACAGACAACATTAATATAAAGATAATATCTGACCACTGTGTAAACAATAATATAAAATAAAGTATTGACAGTGTTAACAAATAAAGCAATGATATATATTCACTACATACCAAGTAACTAGCATATAAAACATCACCACTATATTATTTACCTGTACAGTACAAACTCTACTTATTACTAAACATAAATAATTTAACAACATATAACTGACTGTTGTGGTGTTTTGTCCTCCCAAACACACGGGTCTCTGGTTACTGTTATTGTACTGCTGGTGTGACTTTGCGCTTGAGACTTAACTAAGGATGTTTTGTGCACTTGTTAAAAACAGTTAATACTAATCTTTTACCCCATTATATGAACTGTACATCTCCTTGGTAACATGATGTACAGTACTTGATTGAGCAATATCAGTTCTCCAATAGTTCATCAAAAGAAAACTTATTTATTTATCATAATTTTTTCTGTGCATAATTCTTCTTTTACCCTTTAATTCCTGTTTTACATGTAGATATCCCTTCTTAACTTGCTGCAGTAACAGACACATTTAAAAGTACTGTACTGTATGTAGAGTATATCGTAGCTTTTGGACTAATATACGTACAGTATTAAACTTTCCATTTTCCAACTTCCTTTCCCCCTCCCAAACATCCTCACTTGCCTTATTCAACATATAATTCTGAATAAATCGATCACCACCACTACTGTACTTACCATCAAATAAAGGTTCGACTCTCACAAACACGTTCCAGAAATACACAAGAGAATTTGGCATTTTCCTGTATTTTTCTTTCATCAGTTTAATGGCTCCTATCCCGTCATCAGGTAAACTTCCTTTACAATATCTTAGGGGGCAGCCTTCAGTCTCCTACATTTTTTGCTAAACACAGAATAACTTGTAATTTCAACACAAGCTTTAAAAACAACTGTATACTTATTAGTGTGTGATTGGGACGTGTTGAATACTGTACAATGAAACCTCTATTTAACGGACTCTATGGAGAAGAAAGTCTATTATACCGAGGGTACGTTAGATGTGAAACCCCCAATCTAACGAATTATACGGAGAGAGAAGTCCTTTATATGGAGGTTTTACTGTACTGTCCAATATAATTCCCAGAACTAAAATGATTCATGCTTAAAATGGTTATCAACGTTACTAAGAATATGATTATAACTATACAAATTTTGTTTAGTATATACACAACACTAGATATAAAAGTTAGTCAATTTTTTTTAGTATATACACAACACTATAAATTACAGTACAGTACAGTAGTTTGTACAGTATAATACTGTACATACACAACACTAGTTATACTGTACAAACATGTGCCTGATATAAATGCCACTTCTAACACATAACTTGTGTCACTACATACAGTTGTCCTTTAATAAAATAAATTATTAATACAACCTTAGTTTCTCGATAACAATTTGTCCATACAGCATTCAAATTATCAATTACTGGTACTGATTATTCTAAACTGAATACTATTACTGAATTACCTCTTGCGTGCACCAACCATATCTATTCTACTTTAGCCTTGGCCTCAGCCTTGATAGCCTGGTGGAGTTGTGTCAGGTCTGTCATCACGTTGTGTTGTAGGATGGACGAAGCACAGAGGAGACCTCCCCAAAGGGCTCCTGCAAATCCGCATGAACAGATGTCCTGCCCTGTTAAGTAGAGTCCTGAAACACGAGAAAAAATAATAAAGTGGTGAAAATTTATCCCAATTTATGATATTCTGACTTGCAAGCGATGGGTTTCTCGGAAACGTAACCCCATCGTAAATCGGGGTATACTGACCATCCTGAAGTTTAATCACCCCCAATAGAATAATACAATACTGTACTTTCAAAGATACAGACATGAGGTACAAATTACTGTAGTGTGTGTAAAAAAGATGGATATATGAAACTAGAGGCAATAACCAGAAGATAAAGAATTTAGAAAGGAGATTGTGAAGCATGTGGGAGAGACTCATAAGAGGAGGGTGATGATAAACGTACAGTTCCATCTGTCATATCAAACACTACTGTTTATAATGTACCAACTTACTCCGCCTGCTGGTCTGGCTCCTGAAGGTAGGTAAGGTACTGGCCAACAGTTTGAGCTAAAGACATGTGTCAACTAGGAGAAGAATAATGAATGCCAGAAATTTGAAAGGTAGCAGCAGTGTATGATGAATGGTGAACAGTTTAGGACATGTGAAACATCTGATGGGTGGCTGTAAAAAAAACACTCACTAGAAAACAACTGAATAAGTCAAAGAAATTAATTAATTTTCTTTTACTTACCTGGTATGTCAGTTGATGGTCTGAGTATGGCAGTGTTCCAGACAGAGAATCGCTCACTGGTGTGGTCCAAGCCATATATCTCTCCCCGCGGTGCACCGAGGTAGTGACGATTGGACAGTGGAGTTCCAATGTTTACATAGTCAATGTGGTCCTGAGAGATGAGAGGGGAAACATGTAGCAGTACTGTATGCATCTAGGAAACATGGATGCTCACCCCACAACTGTAAGCACAAGAACTATGAGATATTCTGAGTTAATGAGAAACACGGGACAAATTATCAAATTCTACAACAATGTAACAAAATTATCCTTATGAAACATGGGACATGAGTGATCTGAGTAATGGATTGGTGCAATGGACACTAGTGTTATCTCTATTCAGCTTGGAGTTCCCATCAGGTATTCTTAAACTCACATCAAAATCCATAAACTAAACTGGAGTTATTTAGTGAGAAGTTGATGGCTCAGTAAACATCTTATCTTGAGAAATGTATCTGGATCAGCACAGCACAGTACAGTACAGTACAGTACAGTACAGTACAGCACAGTACAGTACAGCACAGTACAGTATATAAAACATCAACTAAAAATGCCTTGATAGCTTTTTCTCCATACTTTGGTAAGCCTGTCTCTACTGTAATGCAGGGTGGCTGAAACTAAGCAGACAGACATCACAAACACACACATACTCACACACACAAACATACACACACACTAACATATACACACACACACACACACAAACTCTACCTTCATCCACTACAATTCAACCATTTTCAGTAAGAGGTGTGGTCTACTGCTGTAGTACTCTCCACAACAAAGGTCCCAAATATGTCTTACATCTCCCTGTTCCTCCACACAACCTAGCATCACGTTCACCCCCGATGAACCACTCAACACAATGTTCTCGCGTTACTGACACACACCTAATAATGTGTTGTTATATCTCATAATAAACAATTGGAATTTACACTAATAAAGGATCCTATTGCTTGATGTACTGTAACACCAATACAAGACAACTTACCTTGATGGATGGGAAGAGGTTACATGCTTGAGTTACAGCCTTGTCACCAAAACACTTCTTAATAGCTTCATATTCATCTCCGCGCTTCATGACTCGCTCTGTTTCCCATTCTTCCAACCAATGGTACGGCATCAGTGTCACTAGAGCCATCGTTGTTTTGCCTGAAGAGTGACATTATTGTAAACACGTCATTAATTCACTTCATACAATAATACCAACTCTCGGTTTACTAAATTTACTGTTGAACTGTATCACACACTCAGGGTCACAGTGCTCAGGAATCCCACAAGTCCCAGCAGCTAAGATCATTATTCAATAGACATCAAACATCATCAATTACAACTTGGCCTATGACCATCACATTTATTATCATGAACCCTTAAATACTGTATTTTATCTCAAAAAAATTGCAAAATTTTTGTTTAAACTATTTACTGAAGTTAAATATAACTAAATCTACTGAACCTCACCAATTCAATATTTCAGGCTAATTCGTTCAACCCAAAGCCTCGTGGATAATGAACTAGAGAGGGTTTAGTACAATACTGGGAGAAACAGATTGTAAAGAATTCAAAATGTATAAAATAGCAACAACAGTGAACCCACCAGGGAACCTCTTGTTCCACTCAGGATCTTTTGTAGAAGGGAAGGAGATGAACAGAATTGGAATATCAACATCAAGAGCTTCTTCTCGAGTCAGCTTTTCATAATCCAGGAGCAGCTGTAAAGATAAACCACAATGAAAACTTGCCACAACACCACACTACTGACTGTTTAACCCTTTAATGGCAGTCATGGTCATCATCATCTGTATTACTGTACTACAAAAACTTATTGTCTTTCAAGAACAATAATTGATCTTATCATTGTACAGTAGTTCTATATTTTAATTTACCTCTACAGTAGATACAGACTCAATATTATAGCATACTTAATAACTGACAACAGTATTAGCTAGTACAGTACAGTACAGCAGTCATCACCTTGTCTATGTCATTGCCAGTGTACACCCAGGCATTCTTCTTGTGAATTATATCATCAAGTTCTGCAGCATCACAGTTGATCCCCACAAATACTGACATACTGGCAGTGCCGTGCCGTGACGTCTGCACCATCGGCCAGAGGCGAGACGACGATGCCACATCCAGAGGGAGAAGTCGCTCAAAAGTATTGTACAAACCTGATTCAAAAAGATAAACGAGACTATGATCGTAAAATATGTCCCCCATTTGCCTATGAACTAATTGCTTGAGAATCCAATGTCTTATACAGGAAGAGAAAAGTTATTTTACTTGTAAGAAGTTGAAAAGTCTTGTAATGATCTTTGTACTACAGCCAAGACTCTTCCTGTGCCTCAGTCAGGATTTCTCCCAGTTTTTATAGATAAGGAGTTTGAAGACAACACAACTGCCTGATCAAGTACATGAGCTTTTATCTGTTAAACATCTTAAGATTCATGCATGAAACAAACAGCTAAACTTTGCCTTTCACAACACAACTGTCAATACACACCTGCATCAGAGATGATCAATGGAGCTGCAACATTGTAGAGTTCCTTCCCTTTTAGCACCTGTACTCCACATGCTCGACCCTTCTCGTCAGTAATAATCTGGTTAACCTATAAAAGAAAAATAAAGAAACCATCTTACAGTTATTCAGTGTAAACACATACACAAGTATAGGGAGTCTCCGGGTTACTCTCCTGGACCCCGTTTGTTCACTCATATGTTCATAATTCAGAAGTATTAATTCCATAGGTTATATGAGGTTAAAACTCAACCCTACTCAAACATCACAACAATAATATACCATACAGTACAAAACCAATATATGGTGATCTTAAACAAAACAAAGTAAATTGGCTCAGACCCGTAGACTGTTTGTTGCCATTGCCAGGACAAGGAATTGCTAAGTGCAGGAGGAGACCAACTGCTGAACAGAGAGGTGCCCATCATAAGTACCAGTCAATACTCGTAGGTCAGAAGAGATTTTTGTTTAGAATATATTGGGATCACGTTTGTAAATATGGGCGATGGTATGTCGAGAACTCCCTGTACATATTTTGTTCTGTCCATTACACCACTTGCTATGATGTTATGATCTATCACTCTGGTAATAACATATGCAACAAAAAAAATTTCAATTCCCACAATTTCAGACAAGAAGAGTAAACTGTGTACAGTATTGACATAGTTGGTGGGTAACTTACTGAACAACACAACAGGATAATGCTCCATCAACCTTGCCTGGCATTTGACTCAAACTGTTTCTCTTTGGCTGAAAATTCAGAGCGTGATCAACTACACCACGGAGACCTTCCATTAAAGATTAAGTCTGGTTTACATCTGAGTATAGAGAGGTCGACTGAGAGACATGTACTCACTCATTAGAAGATAAAGACATGTATACATATCACCAGCAAGTACATGAGCCCACAACACGTTCACTCACAAGGTAGTTCCCCCTCCCAGCACTTACCTCAGCACGGACGAGGACCTTGCCACCAGCAGCCTCAATCACCGGAATAATATGAAAAGCAATCTCTGAAGCTCCTCCTACTGGGTAAGAACTACCTGAGGAGATACAACACTATATTATCACCATGATAATTGTACACATTCTTTAAGCTCCAACTACATCACCTCACCAGTTGGCATCGGCTTGACAAGTGAACTCCTTGGGTCCTGGAAAAGTATTCATAGTTAGCTTACTATAAACCTGGTCTTAGTAGGTTAAATGTTTTATGTTGACACATCTAAATACAGTTGTTGGCTGCAGTAAACTCTCATGCTGTAAAACAAAAGTCATCCCAAGGTGACATATCCCCCTGGATGTGGTTCATTCAACAACACATGGCCAGAACTCAGCCAAAAATCATCATAGTCAATATGTTTTGATACATGTACAGTTGATCAAAAACTATCTGTACATGCGGGCTACTTGCAGAATGAACACTACGATTCCTATTGTCTCGGTACAGTTGTCAAAATCCTTCATCCTTTGTGTCATATTGTCTAATATAATTTTGCAAGGATAGTTTTTTGATTGACTGTACATTACCAAGTTTGGGGAAAATTCCACAGAGATAAGTAATTTTTCATTACAGCTACAGTAATCATGATTAAAGACACACAAATATACTGTACAGTACTGTTAAGATTCACCTACTTGGGCTGACAGGATAAAAGTATTTGCTGGACTACAAAATATTATATGACGATGTTGTGAGGAAGTTGTGCAAAATATGGGTGATAACAGGCTGGGCATGTTGGGTGATATGGTGGGGGGGACATTTGTTGGGAGGAGGAGTGTGGGATAGGGAGAGAGAGAGATACACCCCCTCCAAGAAGTATCTTTACGAAGACGTCCAATGAATTTCAAAATGAACACCGCGAACGCCTGTTGTCTCGGAAGAGTTGACAAAATCCTTCCTCCGTTGCATCATCTTGTCTCACACAAAATCATTTAAGATACTTTTTGGAGCGACCGTACAGGGATGAGTAGTTGGATAATTTGATCTGGACATCTGGACACAATGAGAAATATTTCTCACACACAGACAATCCCTTTCCTCCTATGACCCAGGGTGGCCGGACAGCAGCCAATCCTCCTAGTATCAGAACCCAGCAGCTCCTCATTACTCCACTTCCCTAGCAAGAAGACACTCCACCAAGAGGTTGTTCCATCATCAGTAAGTGTACAGTTGCCGATAGTGTACTAAAGTTAGTGATGAGTGTACTGTACTATGGCTAATGTACAGGGCAGAAACCTTACCTAACCTGTGCTACCATAACCTAACAAATGCTACCTAAACTATCCTTACCTATACTACCTTAACCTAACCTTTACAGGTGTACTATCTTATCCTATCCTAAGCTAACCTACCCTAGCCTAACCTAAACTACCCTTATCTATACTACCTTAACCTACCTAAGCTAACCTACCCTATCCTAACCTAACCCTCCACCTGTGACTTGAAAGCTGTAAAAGGGAAGAAGAGAAACAACAGATATTTAGGGAATGAGAGAGTACAGTATGTGTCAAGTGTGAGGTGGGGACAGATAAATACAGTCTTCCATATGTCTGTGGTCCAGAAAACTTAAAGAGACAAATAAGGAAAAAAATAATGGAAACGAAAGATTCATAGTCACTGAAAGTAACTAAAGACTCCCTAGAGCTAACATCCACCGTCCAGTCAGCTAATATCCACCGTCCATAAAGCTAACTTCCACTGACGATGGCTGCCATCTCCACTGATGATGACCGCTGTTGAACAGTTAAGTGTGAACTGGAGAATAAAAAATCTGATAAATAAAAAATAAACACAAAAATATTACCCTGTCCAAAATGGGAGTGCAGTAGCGTCTGCATGGGGAAGCCCGCCTTGCTCGGGGGTGTACCGTAGTCACCATAACAATAGCAGAAGATATCACGCAACTCCTGGTTTTCTGTTAGTCCCTTGGTAGTGATGAGAAAAAAATAAATAAAACTTTCAGTGATAAAAATAATAAAGACACAATGAAAGGCATGAACTACGGTCAGCTCTTACATCCAATCCTCTAAATGATGGTACAGTAAAGTGGCAGCAACAGTACAGTACTATATAAAGGCATGATGGCAGGGTACAGATCACAAGTTAATGGCTCATACTGTCTAAAAGCAAAGTCAGTAAATCACCATTAAGAAATTAATTAATTTCAGGTCTCCAAACACAAAATTAAATAGAGGTGTACAGTACAGTACTGCCTCAAGTACACAAAGATGTAACTGAGACATGTAGGTTATCAACTTGTGGTCTGTGTTCAGAGGATGTCAATAGGGTGCCCAAGGAGAGGAATGTTGAGAATAAAACAATCAAGACGAGAGACAGTCAAGAGAACTAATGGTGGCAATGCACTATGTCAGTAATAACAGGAGGAAGACAGAGATATATCCAGGTGTCTTGAGAGAACATAATTTGGTACCTGAAGATGTACTGGGCACCTTGTTATATAGTAAAGGTCTATAAATTATCCTAATAATGTGGCTTAACAGCAAAACATTAATAATTCATGGACACAGATTTAAAGTTTGAATTGTTTCAAGAAAAATTCTGATTTAGAAATAAGATGGTTTCTGTTGCTTTATCTTCAAGTCTTTTGGTTTGACATAACAAGCAGGACCTTACATATAAGACCTTACACCACCAGCAGGACCTTACATCACCAGCAAGGCCTTACATCACCCGCAGGACCTTACATAACAAGACCTTACATCACCAGCAGGACCTTACATCACCAACAGGACCTTACATCACCAGCTGTACCTTACATCACCAGCAGGACCTTACATCACCAGCTGTACCTTACATCACCAGCAGGACCTTACATCACCAGCTGTACCTTACATCACCCACAGGACCTTACATAACAAGACCTTACATCACCAGCAGGACCTTACATCACCAACATCACCTTACATCACCAGCTGTACCTTACATCACCAGCAGGACCTTACATCACCAGCTGTACCTTACATCACCAGCAGGACCTTACATCACCAGCTGTACCTTACATCACCAGCAGGACCTTACATCACCAGCTGTACCTTACATCACCCACAGGACCTTACATAACAAGACCTTACATCACCAGCAGGACCTTACATACCCAAACAACTTCCTTGCACGTCTTGGAGTTCCACTCATAGAAATTGGTGATGTAGTTGATGAGTCCCGTAGTCTGCAACAGCCACACAGCCCACAGTGGTATAAACTTTACCAATATGGACTTGGTGTTACCTGGATGGATCTCTTTCATCAACTTGAAGAATCTGGAAAACAAGTTAGTTATTAACCTTTCTCTGGAAAGCTCCTTAATGCAACATAAATTTATTATAAGCAAAAAAAAATAATCAAGTGATTATAAAATATATCTTGATTCTCCATATGTGAATATCTAAATAAGATTTTCACTGTCCTAACTCTAAAGACATATGATAACTCTTGTTTGGTTAAGTTAGGTGCAACTCCCATTTTACACTTAATGTACCTTATTTGCCAATGAAATTCTAGTGAAGTTTAATTTAAAAGGCAGTAAACATGTAGCTAAGGAGCACAAAAAATGGAATGACAACACCTGGCAGATCCAGTGTTATAAGTCAAGTGATTGATAATTAACTGATAAGTTTAAATCATGTGAAGCCTTAGGATGACTCATACAAATGGAGCTAACATGTGGAAATAAAAGGAGTAAATGGAAGAGAATATCTGAGTAAGGTAATTGGGTACAGTATTTAACTCATTGTAAAAAGAATATATATATATATATATATATATATATATATATATATACTGTACATACATACATACATACATACATACATACATACATACATACATACATACATACATACATACATATAGAAAAGAAAAATGACAGTACTTATCAATATTTTGAGCTTCTTCTGGGAACTTTTTGGTGAGTTCCTCCTGCCATTTGCCTTTCCCACTGAGCACAGGATACTTGCGAGGCTCCTTATCTTTTTCCGCAAATATGACCGTGTCGTAGTTCTCACCTGTTAATGAGAAAATGGGCATATTGTACAGGAATGACTACTGTGTGCTAAGAACTTACTGGCAGTGTGTGAGTGTGTCTAGGGAATGACTACATGTTATCCTACTGGCAGTGTGTGAGTGTGTCTAGGGAATGACTACATGTTATCCTACTGGCAGTGTGTGTGTGTGTCTAGGGAATGACTACATGTTATCCTATTCAATAGATGGCTGGTTGGATGGCTACTATTTCCATGTTCCCAGCTGCTGCTCCTTGCATGACTGGGGACAATAGGGTAGAGGAGGTAGTTAACCAAAAGATTTTCCACTTCAACTTAGAGTACAACACAGACAAGAGAATAATGTAAACAAGAAGGGATTCACAAGGTCTTACAAAATGTAAATGATTCCTCTTGAACAACCTCCCCCATACAAGTGGTCCATGGCTCATGAAGATTTGATCTGGGATAAACAGCTTTAATCATACAGTAATCTAATATTACTTTAAAAGAGTTTTGTTATTAATAGTAACTTACTCAACGGTGCCCATTCAAGTTGGCCATTTGTGATCTGGTCAATGTACGTCTTACTGATGGACTGGCGATTCATCTCACCGATGTAGTGTATGCCTACGTCAAACTCGTAGCCCTTGTCTATAAATGTGTGGCAACAACCACCGGCCTGTTGTACAATAAAGAGATCACATTGTTAATAGCACTGTACGTACATGCCTACAACACTGTACAATACTGGCATATACAGTAGTACTGTATAATCCATTCTGAAAACTTTGTAGCCATGCAACTTTTATCTATACAAGTGATTACTGGAAACTATGACTTTGCCTTTAAACATCTACAGTACAGTACAGTACAGTACAGTACAGTACAGTACAGTACAGTACTTAAGATATAATTATCATTCAGAAATGTTCATCAGTGTAATGAAGTCCCTCCTCACAGATTTACAGTAATATGGTTCTATAACCTGGCCTTTGTATGGAAGGTATGACCTTCAAACTTACAGAAAAATTCTGGTCCATAAATGAAGTGTTCCCTTGAACCATGGACCAGAACTATCCTGAGGAGGAAACCATACCTGGTCATGCTGTTCCAACACCAACACTCTCTTGCCGGCCTTGGCTATAATAGCGGCTGCTGACAAACCTCCTATCCCACTGCCAATCACAATGGCATCCAAGTTCTCAGGAACTTTGTTCCAGGTGAAACCTGAAAATAATACAGTACAGGACCAGTTGGAGTAAAAACATTTATTACAGCAGGTACTTATACCTTCCCTATCTATGGGTGAAATACTGATAATAGGCTAAGAATGGTGATTGACAATACTGTACTGCACTGTAATTCAACCAGTTACCAAAAATGACAAGCTATGATAATAATTAATAAAGATAGAATAATTTGAAGGTGGACTTTCTCCACACTGGAGAACTTCTGAAATAACTTTCAAGATGACAAAAACACTGTACATATTCCTTGAAGATACAGTGGATGAAGTACTGTACATATATTATGGTACAGTAATGTACACAGCACAGTACACTCACCTTGTTTAAGGACAGCATCTCTTTGTTTCTGATCTGTGACTTTTGCCTTGACTTCTGTACAACTATTTTCCTTAAATGGGTTGAGTGATGGTGACTTGGTTATGAAGTAAAGAACAGCCTTGATGACCACACCCACCACCAACACCACTGCCACTAATGGCAATGATAGAAAACCCATCTTCAACCTGAGGAAAACAAAACAAATAGATATTTAAAAATAATATACATACTGTATATATGGTACAGTCGGCACAAGAATAAGTATAAGGTACACCTACGGTTCATGCTTGAGACAAAATATCTGGTAACACTGTCCTGAACAGACCAGACAAAATGACCTGTAATTGATGTTTTATTCCTACATATATGTTATAAATACATTTATTGTTAATGTTTTACTAGTGTCTTGTGTTTATATTACAAGTAATATATTGTATCCAATGGTAGTAAACTTGTTGCCCAATGGGATTGCAGTTATCCTCCTCCCCCACTTTTTCTCTTACCCTACTTTTTTTTTACTGATGTTCGGATTAGTAAAGGAAGGAAGAGGAGTAAATAGAAGAATAAAAAAGGGGAAACAGAAAATAGTTAGAGATAACAGGTGGGGGAGCTGAGTTTCATCATGCGTCTGGATGCGTAGTTTCAACGTTACCAGACCATTTTCGGACCTTACAGCTACAGTGTGTATACTGCGGCCGACTGTACATGAGACCGGTAAAGAGTGTACAGTTCAGAAATGAATGGTAGGAGGAGAGGAGACCACAAAGATACATGAAAGGATGGGAAAGATGCCTTTACTAATGTACTGGCTCTCAATACCAGCCAACCTGCAGGGTACCGTACAGACACTATATGGCGGCATAAATAAAGTCTCTCGTCCACACTCTGACTGACCGTAAACACTACATCATGGTGGTATAGAGAAAGAAATAAGTATTGTACTGTATAGGTGTAAGATGACTCTGTCGGGTTAACTTACTGTTCACTATACTGTACTGTACCTGCAATAAGTACATCTTTTTATACCTTCACGGTCTATGTACTGCATTACTGAGTGTATACAGTACAGTATATACAGTATACATAAATGCTGATTCTATGTCACTTGTATGATGATTTAATCAAAAGATATCTATCTATCTATCATCTATGGGTAAAATACACTGAAATGTTAAGAATATTTCAAGATGACTCACTTGTTGAGAAGAAAACACAGCTATGGAGTGTGTTCACAGTGGACCAAACACTAGCCAAGATAACCTGATAACCTTGAGCTACTCTACTATCAGTGAGGTGAGGTAATGTACTGTGCTGTACAAAGTTTACTTCTGGAGTGGCAAGCAACTTCCAACTTAAATGAGATTGATAAAACATAAAACAATTAATGTATTGCAGAATCATTAGCCCCCTCCCCCCCCCCAGCTAATTACAATACACTTGATGCTACCTGGGGAGGTTAGGTTAGAATATTTAAGGTAAGGTAGAGTTAGGTTAGAATATTTAAGGTAAGGTAGAGTTAGGTTAGAATATTTAAGGTAAGGTAGAGTTAGGTTAGAATATTTAAGGTAAGGTAGAGTTAGGTTAGAATATTTAAGGTAAGGTAGAGTTAGGTTAGAATATTTAAGGTCAGGTAGAGTTAGGTTAGAATATTTAAGGTACGGTAGAGTCAGGTTAGAATATTTAAGGCAAGGTAGGGTTGGGTTAGGTTAGGTTAGAATATTTAAGGTAAGGTAGAGTTAGGTTAGAATATTTAAGGTCAGGTAGAGTTAGGTTAGAATATTTAAGGTAAGGTAGGGTTAGGTTAGAATATTTAAGGTCAGGTAGATTTAGGTTAGAATATTTAAGGCAAGGTAGGGTTGGGTTAGGTTAGAATATTTAAGGTAAGGTAGAGTTAGGTTAGAATATTTAAGGCAAGGTAGAGTTAGGTGGAGTTAGATTAAGTTACATTAGGTTACATTACAGTACGTTAAGTTAGGAAAGCATTAAGGTGTGTACAATAAGCTACTGTACATATGATCCCAAAAGTTTACTGTTACAGCTGTAACTAGTCATTGATAAAACCTTATTCTCTTACAGTATATTTACAGGAATCACATGTTTAATCTATAAGATACTTTAAAAGTAAGTAAAAGTACTGTATCATCATCTTGTAAACGCGATATTCGCAAGTCACTTGAGCAATGGCGGGTGTATGTGCTGGTTGCAGTGAAGCTCATAAGAACATAAGAAAGGTGGAAACTGCAGCGGGCCTATTGGCCCATACTGGGCAGTCCCGTTTACACCCAACTCCTATTGCTCATATAAGCATCCAACCTATGTTTGAAGCTATCCAGCGTATTTGAGTTAATGATGATATTAGGTAACTTTTTCATGTGGAAAAGTGATGGGTGGTAAACAAAAAATAACCAAAGTTCCTACTAACGTTATTTTACCGTGGGTGCAGATTGGCTTAGTACTTTCTGGTTAATATGATGGGGGGTTCTGCCCCCTGGCTAGGAAGTTAGGTTAGGTAGGGTTCTTTGGTTGGCTAGGTCAGGTTCTATTATGTTCTAGTAAAAGTCGTCTCTTTTATAATGATAAGGCTTCCAAGCACAACAGAAATATAGTCAGGTATGTCTACAGCTAAACAAATATCGACTCACGGCTAAATAAATGACAAATGCCGCCAGTCACGGTCAAATATAGTTCTCAAGTTGTTCGCTGGTAATGGACGATTAGCCAATCAGAGCACACTCACGGTAAAATAGCGCTAGTAGGAACTTAGCTGGTAAAAGCAAAATATCCACTGCCTTTTGGTCATCCAACGAATTTCAGGATTTTAAGGGTAGGTTGAAATTAAGTTTTCAGATGGTTTTTGGTGTGTTTTAAACTACTTCCAAATTGGTGGATGACTGAAACAATTTTATCAACCAACTAACTTGTTAACCAATACTAAATAATAATAGCTGGTCCCCACAGCTTCGCATCCTACCGCAAGTTGTGAAGAACCAATTATAATGCATGCCAGGTTACAGATGTTTTATATTTACTGAATAACTCTTTATCTACCCCATCTACTCAGTGAACTTGGTACACAAACGCTCACAGTTGTTTAGTCAATAGATAATAACGGCTGTGTTAACTAATAGACTCTACATGTAATTATACACTTACATCAACAGTAATAATAAATGACACTGGGGATGGATGACACAATAGGAAGGAAATACATAAAGATAATAAACACAGAGCCATACCTAAGCCTTCCTCACAGCTGGTGCCAAGGAAGATGTTAGGACTGGAGAGGACCTTACCAAGTACATTAAATAAATGTTTAGCACCTGACTGCTGCGCCACCTCTCGAGAACCTTTTTATTCACAGAAAACGTCCATGGTACTTCAGGAGAGACACACCTATTTACCTCTTCACCACTGGTCGCCTCGTTAGCCCTGGGCGGTCGGTCACACACTGTTGGCCTATGGATTATGATGTAAAGGCATTTCGTCTTATTAACTCCTCTTCTTTAGTTGATAATCTTTCTTCCCTTTGTGTTGCTTCACTTTAACGGGCAGTGTTGGGTGGGTTTACCCTTTGTCTACCTTAAGGGGAGTCAGGTTTCTCTTATACAGTACACCATGATCATGTTAGGCAGCCCATGAGTGTATCTGTCGCCAGCAGCTAGCCTCCAGTACAGACACCTGGAGGAGAGCTTGTTCATCACTAGGGGTCAGTAGTAGGACTGTTATAGGTCATCTCTGTATGTTCTTTGGCTAATACTGAACCACGAAAACACCTGTATCTTCCTTGGTACTAAATCACGAAAACAATCTAATTTTTTTAACCAATTGGAAAAGTTTCAATTAATCCAAATATTTATAAAATAAGGATAAGTATTTGTCTTATGCATGTATTTTAATATTCCATATCTTCTTAATAATATCAAGATAAAAATGATAAATGGATGAACTTTAATTAACTCCAATATTCTTGTTGAGGAAATGTTATTTAAACATTTATGTAGCTTAAAGCTTTATATATTTATTATAGAAATATAAAGGTTAAAACCAAGGAATATTATAAGGAACTTTAGTCTTACGGGAGTAATTCAATCCCCACTAGTTGGGATGCTGAAGCGGTCAGTTCTCGCGTCCTGAGGCGGGCGATACAAACTGTTGAGTTGTGGGAAAAACAATGGAAATAATAGAGGTAAGGTTTAATGTCTTGGTTAATATTCACTTTTATCCTAATAGATAATTCGGTTTTTTTTACTATTATTACTAGGATTCTTTTTTCTCTTAGTAAGGAATCGGTTTCATTCTATGGCATTCCCTGGGTAAATGCATTGATTTTGTGATATTTACCGTGAAACACACCAATACTTTGTACTGTGTTTAGCGGTCGACCTATTTCTTCCCAAAGGACAGGAAAAGGTAATGGTCAATTTATAGTAGAGGACACACAGTACGGTATATCTATATTAACCTTTCTCTACTGATAACAAAACAAGACACGATTTGTGTCCATTTTTAGCTATTACCTGTACAGTACTGTATTGCATTTGTTGCCAAGAAGATTTTTTCTTTGCAAACAATAATTTGGACAATTCTAAGACGTTCCCCTCACCAACTACTGTACCTAGAACCGAGATATTTAATGTGCAGTACGGTCCAAGGGGCAGAGCCCACCAGTTAGGAAGTTAGGTTTGGTTGGTGCTGTCAACTGTGGATTATCTTGGTGATGGTAAATGAAGATCGTCTTGTTTTGTCAGAACTTCTCATTAGAAAAAAAAAATATTGAATTATGTCGTGTAGTATAAATTGATCGAATCTACAGACATTGTGTTAAGTATAGTAGTCCGTTACAGTAGTGTACTGTTTATTTATATAAGAAAGAATTGATGGTGTGGAAAGTCAATAAATATTGGGTATAATAAAACACATGATCAAGACATTCTTCATTAATCCCAGTCATCAAATTTTAGACAAAACTTATTTTATTGTTCAGTAAAGTTAATCCTTAATTAATATGACATGGATGGCATACGAGCATGTGGAGTCTTAGCACCAACTCTTATGCTCTAAGTATTGGTACATGCAATCTTAAATATAAAATAAAAATAGTTTTGAGCAAAAAACAGGGGAGTAGAAAATAATGCAGAATGAGCATTTACTTCACTGGAACTGATTTACAGGAGAGAATCTACATTAATATTCCTTAAATAAATGATGCATTCATGTACTGAATCAATGCTTAAAATGTAACACATAAATTATTATGATAACACAGTGTTATTATTGAGCATGGGCCACTGTGGCTAAGTCAGTAACTGAGCATTAAGTTCTCCAGGACACTGATGCCAAGTTAATGTGTTCTGGACCTGGGGGTGGGGGGGTCACAACCACCCGCCCTTCACACACTTCAGTGACAAATGACATTAGCTGGCCAACATTGGCTCAACTTATATTGGTCTACTCCATCAAATTGACTTTAATCTTACACAATAGTTTTATTAATAATAATTTATGCTAACAACAGTTTGCTAGAAGATGTAACCCAATTACATTTAGATTACAATACTGTACTTTCATATTAACAATACTGGTTCAATTCTCAGTGGAGGTTACAGTTAATAATGTAGGTCACAGCTGGACAACCTTCTTCCCTAAACTGAGGTAGCTAACTCCATTTACCACTCTGGTTTGTGAGATATTTTCTCTACGTTACAAGTAAAGGATATCAACTTATACTATACCATAAACCTTCAGTGTAAATGTAGCATTTTCTGTTATGTTGAGCAGTTTTTTAATCTTATCCTTTGGGTTAGACGTTCTGAGAAAAAAGTGAACGGAAATGAAGACTTCCCTGTAGTGCACCGCCTGGCCGGTGTAAACACAATACTGTAATGGCTTCTTGTGGGGTGTGAGAACATATTGTCTGGTTTATATAGTTTTCTCAGTTAGTTTGTAAAATACTTGTACACTTCAAAACACAGAAGTAAACGTAAAAACACATATACTTTAGTTCATATTCATTTAAAATAAACACATTGTGACAAAAACATATTTCCATAAAAGGCTCTAAATTTATACTGTAGAGGAATTGTTCCAGGTTTTTTCTAAACAAGATTTTTGGTTCCACTTATGTACTGTATGTATGGCTTCCCTCTCTACCTTCCACAATAGTCTGCACCATACAAACCAAGCTAAAAATAACCACACATTATTTTCAACACTGTATAAACCATTAAATGTAACAATCAATCCTGTACGTATAAGTGGCACACTTGCTCCTACGCCCCAATGAACATATAACATAATAAATCTGTTATACTCACAACAAATATCCAGTACTGTATATTATAAATCAATCTTTGTCTAAAGAGTTCAATGTTTTCCTTTTCAAACACACATAAAAATAAGTTAAAGTTATTGAACTGTATTTGAAAAAATAAATAAATAAATAAAAACCATTAAAAGGACAAACACACATAGTGGGATCATGAGCACAATAATGTGGGAGCAGCGTGGACAACCTTAACTCACTCACAGTACACAGAACACTCTTAAGACAACCCTTCGTGGCACTGTTTTAAGATACTCACACCGTGGCTTGGATATATTAAATGTTATAACCATTATGATATTTTCTGCTCATTTTCAAAACTTACAAGTTGCATGGCAGGATGAACTATGGTAGATAAAGTTCTAAAAAAAATAGAAATCTTTGGCATTGAGTTGACGTTGAGATTTAAGCATTAATTACTTGGCACCGGTGATACACACACACACACCACGGACACACCAAAATAGTTTGTCACATTTACAACTTCATGATAGAAAAATAAGTTAAATATGAAACCAATAAATATTAGTGGCCTTGTAAACTTAAGAAATATGAGATAAATATCCTGCACGTGTACATTTTTATTTTTATTTCCATTATATGTTGCTGACTACTCCGCCATAACAGGTTCGGGATATTTCACTCAACTTACTGACCGGTGACCTCCGTCATCTGGTGTAAGAGATGCCAAGGGTCAAAGAATTTAATTTCATTGTTGATTTTGATATCTTCAAGTCTAATATTTTATTGTAATTTTTAATACAGTATCCACAACTCAACCTACGTATGTGCCATAATTCATAGTAAGTATCTAATGTAAAGTGTCTAACAAACTTAACTACAGTATGGAGTACAGTACTTCTGCTCAATACAATAGTCATGTGCAGTACTGTACAGTTCTGTATTTTTGTATGGTAATTTGTTTGGTTTCTCCCTGTACCATTTATCTGTTTATTCATTTTACTTTCTTGTCTTGATTTCAGTGTGTGCAAGTGTGTCCGAGGTGACGGAGGATTGGATAAATCTGGACATTGTTTATATGTGTAAAATAAAAATATCTGGTATATTATACTGTGTTGGATGAGGGAGGTGTTGACTGGGAGGAGTATGATCACAGTGTGGCATTATGTTGCTGCCAAGTTACAGGTATTTTAGTTAAGTTCAAGTTATTCCATAGGATTTTGCCCAAAACTGCAAATTACATTTGTAAGATAAATTCTTTGGTCATGAGCAATGACATACAATTACTTTATTTAATCTGATTTTGGTGTTTTGTTAACAAAATACATACAGTGTTATGATGATGAAGTGTGCTAAGTTTCATTGACCAATACTAACCCCTGTGCATGGGATCACCTCTGTAAAATCTGAAATTAATACTTTTTGTCTATAGTTGACATTATTGAGCAAACAAGAGACACTTAATAAAATGCAAAATCTTTATACTGCTTGACAGACTTGTCTCACACAATATTTGTACAATCTGTTAATAAGAAACCCCATTTATGCTCCAGAACAATTACTCAGTTTGGTGGTTGAGTGAAGTAGTGAGTACAGCCTCTCCTGCCCTTGTCCACTGTACTTCTTGCTGGGATCTTGGACACACAAACATGATTTTACCTTAAAAATTTGCTGGGAAGTTTCTGGGGGGAAAGGTCATGGAAATTGTTTCATAAATTGATTAGTTCTGAGTGTGGATGAAAAATAACAGTAACATGAGAAACTCGAGATCCCCCAAAGATTACTCCCCATCTTACTTCACCTCACAATTAAACACCTTAGTGCTACTTGGGGTAAGGTTAGTGTTGGGTTGGTTAATCTCATGTAAAATAAGTTGAGGATTAATCTTCGGCCGATCCAAGACTAAAGCCGTGTTTTCCTGTGGCAATTTTATCCCTCTCACTCGATGCAAACCATTATCACAGCATTCTACCGCCACACAATTTTGGTGGTCTTTATTGGAGTAACTTGGACTAGCTCGAAGGCTATTCCAAGGCTGTCCATGAAAGCCGGTGTAAATTCATTCTCCTCTGGACTTAAAATCTGTGGTGGTGTAGAAATTTTCTGAACTGGTCTAAGAAGGAACAGGAAAACATGGCTTAAGTCTACTGCCCATCACTACCACACACAGTACTATACTGGTAAATATTTAACAAGTTGCAACCTTACCATCATTCCTTGTACGGTATGAGATAATTTTCAATATGGAAGTGACAGATAAAAGAAAGTGTTTAAGTTTTACCAGTTGCTGTCCACACCATGTCCTGATACACACAACACAAGATGGATATTAACACTATTGTAACTATCATATACAAACAACCTGTAATAGGGAGCACCTGGGAGGAGGTTCATTATACTGTACTGTACTGTACACCCTGACATCTTTGTGGTAAACTTTTTGATGCCATTCCTGAAATGGTAATCCATAACACACATTTGTTACTAAGTAAATAAAAAAGAGGAACTCCGTCCAGTGTTTGTTTGTACTACTGAGAATTGAACCTGGGGTCACACAGTTGAGAACACAATACTCAACTTGGAATTTTTCTCAACCTAACAAAACTCATGCTAAGTTTTCCTATTAATTCATTAGGATATACTTACTCATCTTGTCATGAAATAAATTGACATAAGTTTCCTTACCAAGAGATAATTACTTTAACTAGGCCCTTTACACTTCTTTTATATAGAAAAATATATGGAGGAAACTTTGAAAAACTAGACTCACAGTATAAATATTTTTTGGGGGATTTGGATGAACCTAGTCAAGTAATTGCCCTAATTAGCTTAGAAATAAATAGTAACATGAGAATGATTTTACATTATGGGAAGTTAAAATTACTGAGCTTGTAAGGGCAAAATCATAATGACACTAAATTAAAGAGAATAAGCTGTAAATATTAAATATATGAGAGGAAGTGTGAAGAGCACATGAGCTAATATGGAGGGCTGAGGGACACCATTCCCGGTGGCTCTGTCAGTATGGCGTGAAGGGACTGGGACAGATTATGCTTCAGCACGTGCCGCTTCAACACGTCCTTTCGGGCAAAGGCCTTAGTGCACACTGGACAGGAGTACGGCCGGTAGTTAGCTTGTGACGCAAGGTGACGCTGAAGGTTGGAACGGTTACTGAAGGACTTGTCACAACATCGACATCGGAGACTAAATCGTAAAGGTTCGCAGTCCATCTGTAAAGAGTAAAAAAAAATTATTAGTACAAGATTTTTACGGGAAAATTATTATGATGTGATTTCAATACGGAAAAAAATCATATCAAACCTGTATTATTATGAAGAGTAAATTATCAGTTACATTAATGTCCTTACTACAGTACTGAACTGTCCAGACATGTCACGTGTACAGTATTTTTCACCCTTTCACAGCAGAGGAGATACAGTACAGTACTGTAATTTGTTTTATAGATTGTTGCAAAGCAGTTTAATTTACTGTGCATTATTTAAAAGTTATACTGTATTCTCAAAAATTTCTTAAGTGTACAGTACAATATAGTGCACTCCTACACCATATTTTAAGAAGTTGCACCTGACAGTGTGTCTTCTGAGTTTGTCGCCCTTCATTCATGATTGATTTAAAATACCGTACCCGCCAAGTTAATACAGACAGTGACATGTAAGGTTGTAGGGTTGAAAAATTAGATTAATACATATACTGTATAGAGTATACAGGCACTGTATGTATATTCAGTATACTGTATATAAACACACTCAATACTGTATATCTTTTGTTTTTATGGCCAGGGAGAAGTGCCTTACACACTAGTACATAATAATAAACGGCCAGCTATTTCACGGCAATTGTCTTGGTTCTTGATGTAAGTTTAAGAAATTGGTTTTGTGGTTCTGAAATAAACATTTAGATAAGTAGACTTAATATAACAAACACTATATTGACATGTTAATATATTTGACAAAATACAAGTTCTTTCTGTCTGTTTGTTTGCATCTGTAGAAAACTACCAAATTAACAAATTTACCTTTTGTTTACACAGTACATTATTAATAACCCAGTTGTTGTAGCTGTACTGTACTGTACAACTTTTGTTATAATATCAGTTACTAAAGCAAAAGCTGATATTTTTAATTATACATACAGTAGTATAATTAAAAACACTTCTTGTACAGTACTGCATGTGTACTATACTACCATACTTTGTAAATAATATTTATGCCCAAAATCATAAAATAATTGTTTAGACATTACAGATCATTAATAAAAGGACTTAAATACTGTTCCAATACTGCATAAAACTTTTGGCCTTAAAAATCATACCAGATAAAAATATTAGTTTGTTCTTTTGAATAATTTAGTGATCTACTGTACTGTATATAAAACTTCAGGTTATTTGTAGCATTTATGAATAACTTGCTGTAAGGCAATTCATCCTATACTGTCTGTGGTTGTGTTATAATTTGCTGCCACAAGATCATTTACTGTAGCTTATAGTGAACAAAATATCCCTTTCTGGAACCTTATAAGCAAGAATACAATACAATACAATACAGCAGTAGTCCCCAGCCTTTTGGTGACTCTGGACCATATTTATCATAGTGGTGGGCGCCAAAACTTTGGATCTACATTTAAGAAAAAAATCTCATATATACTGTACAGTTATTTGCAGTTTTACACGTCTAACTGTTACCAGTTACATACTTTTTACAGTTACTCTTAGACAGGATGTGTGTATTTTCCCTAGTGAGAAGACTGGCTCTCTCTCTGGGCCCGGTCTGGGGTAAATACACACGTCCTGTACACAACAGTTGTATCAAGTTATTACATATTTTCATTAATTTCACTCTTACAAAAAATCCCAAATAATTCACAATTTTCTAATGAACCTTTACGGGCTCCACATTATGGTTCTGTTAACTACGGGTTGGAGACCACTGCAATACAGTCTCCGTCAAGTGAAAAGTTGGGGACCAAGAGGCCTCAGTTAAATAGATAATTATGTCAAGTGGATACTGAGCTATCATCAACATGTGTCCAAGGAAAATCGGTAATAAACCGTAGTATTTGTGTTAGTTTGGTTATGTTATTAGTTTTTGTAAATACAGTACCTGTACTGTATTATTCTCTAACACTCTCAATGTTATTAAATCTGTAAATGAGCTGTTAATGTGTCATCAACCACCACATAACTTACTCCTCAAACTAGGGTGAAGACAAGTACAGTACTGTACAGTAGACTCATCACACACACAGCCAGTTGCCTGGTTGTCCAATTTCTACTCATTTACTCTCATATAATGTATGGAAAATTACATAAAATTAATCTTTATTATTAACTTTCATATTCAGAATGCTCCAATCTTCCGTTTGACAGATACTCATTTGTATTGAGACTGATCTTTGTTATAGCATTAATGTTATTACTGATCATTGTGACAACAGATTATTGTATATTAAGGTCAACCATTGTAATAACTAAATACTGTATTGTACAGACAACATAAGTTATGACCACCTATCAACTAACTACTGAAGTTGTCATGTAAGTAATGTATGAATTGAGTAAAGGTGTTCCATGTGTCTTACTGTTGTCTTCTTGGAGGAGGTCACTGTTATGTGCTGCTGTGTACAGTTCTGTAGTGTGCAATACTTCCCAAGAAGAGTGACCAACACTGTGTTATAACCTGCTTTATTATGGCCTCAGGTACAGTATTACCCTAATGCTGTGCTCATCCTTACACTGTCTCCCTACACTACTGTATATTACTTCAGAAATAGATCACACAACTCAATTTGGTAATACATGAACATATTGATACATTTTAGGTACTGTAAACTAATTACTCTACATTTAAGGGCTGTTTGGCACCTTAATTAATACAGTACAGTATGCCATCTTTACATACTACTGTGTATATATATATATATATATATATATATATATATATATATATATATATATATATATATATATATATATATATATATATATATATATATATATATATATATATATGTGTGTATATGCTGAAAAATTACTTTGAATATGATCATCTGTTAATAAAGGAAGAATACATTAAACAATTCTGCTCTACTGTCTGTGTGTACAGTACATGTGCTGTGCAAACACATGTACAGTAATGTACTGTACATATGGTCACGAGCTTGCTCACTTGTGCCAATACTACATGTTAGCCAAACTTAACTTTTAACCCATTAATGAATTTAAGTAAATACTGTATGTATGTAAATTTATTTTGGATAAAAGAAAGACCAGTTAAATGTTGACCTTTATTAATGAGTGACAGAAGTAGCGTCAACGTCCAGAGGACCCGACGCTCACACCCATCATGATAATCAGCTCTAATTTACAAGTTGCCAATTGAACATAAGTGCAATAAACAAAATCTACCAAATGTGCTAACTTAAACTAATGGAAATGTGATGTGAAAACACAATATAAACCTTTACATCTATCCAATACTGCTGTTGTGGCTTAAATTAAAATACTTATCAAGAAATACTACATTTACATCCTTCGACTCAGCGGCGAGAGGCAAGACGTAACGTAGATGACAAGAGGAGGAACGAGCTTTGTGAGATGCCCGGGAGAGTTTTGACAAATACTGTACTGAAGAGATGGTGAGGTAGAAGTTACTGTCAAGTGAGAACCTGTTGTGGGGAATGTGGTGCATATGGATAAAGAGAATACTGCATTGGCAAAAGTGATCATAGCAAACATATCTTTTCCAGTTATAAGAAAAAATAAGACTAACTCTTAGTTTGTAATAATTAGAGGAACAGTTTCTGGTTTATAGTGGAACAGAACAAACTGTCATTAGTTAAAAGGAAAGTATAAAACTGCTGATCTTTTGAACATTGATTGCAAGTACTGTATACTAAAGTAATAAGTATTAAGATGAAGGAAATTAGGATATACTTCATAAAGAAGGAGGAGGGAGAAGAGGGCCTGGGTGTAGATGAGCGTGACGGGCTTCACAGCGCGCCTGGTGGTACTTAAACTGGTCCCTTCGGTGGAAGGTTTTGCCACAGGCAGAACATCGAAGGCGATGGGCAGTGGGCAGGTGGCCCTGGCAGTGACGAATCATGGACTCTGGGTAGGAGAAGGTCTTGCGGCAGAGAGGGCATACCGTGTCCGAGCCACACACCAGGCGGGCCACGCGACGCGGAGACACCCCCTGGGCCAGCAGAGTCTGCAACACACCCACAACCATGTTAGTACTAACCACTGCCACCACAACACCATATGCCTCCACCACCAGAGCCTCTAACATACAAGCACCATAACAAACAAGTAACCTCTACCTTCATTACAAGTGCCAACCATTGTGGCACAGATGACAGTTACAAAACTCAACATAAAAGAGGAACACAGACCAGACTTTGGTGAATGCTACAGCTCAAACTGAGATGTTTGTGCCTTATTTTAACTGACTTTCCTCTTAAAAGAGGCAACAGGTATATTTATAACATTTTCATTCGTAAGGTTCAGTAGCAAAACAGTTTTCCTTTTAATGTCCAGGAAAAATAGGACAAGTTAATGAGATATCATCTCATGTTCAGCTACAGTGCCTATATGAGCTCATTGCATAATACTGTTTACTGAATACTGTACTGTACTGTACATACCGAATAAGTTGCACAGAGGTATATAGTCTAATGCTAGATTTTATATTCCTTTGTCCATTCTTACATTCAGTCAATATCTTTCTGTATATGGAAGCCTAAGGTGATACAGTTACAGTACTGTATATGGTCCCATTGGTTACACACCAGTTTCACTCTTCAGTATCAAAAAATGGAAGCTGTTTTCTGAATTTCTAATTTTCTGTGAGGTGAGGTCAAAGTTTCCTCGCTGTCTCGTGTTTACAAGATAATGTCCGAGGATTTGTTTTACCCTTTTGGTGTAGACACAAACTTCATCTGATGACTGAATTACTATTTTTATTACAGTCACTTTGACTCCGTGTTAGTTCAATAAATACTGTACACTGAAATACAAAACAGTTGTACACCACAACTTTCTTATAAGTATCACAAAAGTTCCCTCTTCAGGTAACGCACAACTTGAATCTTGTATATTACAATAATCACAGCTTTCTAGTGAGATAATGACCAACCATAACTGCTCATTTTCTGGTTAAGATCTCACACAGATATAAGTTAGAGAACGCCTGAGTGGGAGACCTAAAATGGT